CCCCCCCCCCCTGCACCCCCTCCGCGTGCGCAGGTCACCACGTGATCCACGTGGAGGCGGATGACCCGGACAACCCGGAGACGGGGAACGCGGAGCTTCGCTACTCGCTGGGGCCTCCGCGCCCGCCGCCCGCCAATCGCTCGGCCGTCAGCTTCGCCATCGACCCCCCTCCGTGGCGACATCACCACAACCTCTGACCCGCAGCTGCTCGACCGCGAGGTGCAGTGATTGGCGGGCCCGGCGGTCGCCCTTGGCGGCGATCGCGGCGGCAACGGGGGTGGCGACGGTGACGTAGCCTTGAGGGCCGTTGGAACGCCAAAACACCACCGCCACCACGATAAGGTTACGATCCTTCGGTGGGGGCTACGGTGAAGTAGAAAAAATAATTTGCCATTACCTTCTTCTTGGTTCTTTCGGTAAAGTCACGTAGAAGGGAAGTAATAAAATAATAAAAATAAAACATAATAAAATAATTCTCACGACGTTTCGGCCACAATGCAAGCAGCCGTCCTCAGGTGAAAACCAGGTCTGTCGAGGCGACAGCGTCTGAATGAAACAGCACAGACGGCTGCTTGCGTTGTGGCCGAAACGTCGTGAGAATTGTTTTGTTATGTTTAAATTTGTATTATTTTATTACTTCCCTTCTACGTGACTTTTCCGAAAGAACCAAGAAGATGAATCCCTGCAGTCACGAAAGCTTTAAATCGAAATTTGCCATTACCGTTAAGCGAAAAAAATGCGAGAAATAAAGTAAGAGCCGGTTGTCCCGCACAGATACAGAAGTGCGACGCGAACTCCACAACGGCCTTGCCCATTCCCGATGCCGACCTCACACACCGCGCAGATATTAACCAGGACGGTCCGCGCGGCCGTTCGCCGGGATCCGAACCGCGAACCCCCCCCACCCCCCCTCCTCCCAACACGCCGTGACAGCGTCCACCACGCCGTCACCCTGTCTCCCGACCCGCTCCGAGTGCAGGCGCTGGCCACGCTCACCTACGAGCTGGTGGTGAGCGTGTCGGACATGGCCGGCGGCGACTCGGGCCTGGTGAGGAGCAGCACGGTCACCGTCACCATCGCCGACATCAACGACAACCCACCCGTCTTCCACCCCACCACGCGGGTACTGGACCTTCACCCCCGGAGACACCCCGGGGACACCATGGGGACATCCCCTCCCCTCACACCGTCTCCTCCTCCTCCTCCTCCCGTCTCTCTCCCCATCTCCCGTCTCGTGTGTATCCCCTCGTCTCCCCGTCTCCTAGCTCACACCTTCTCCTGCTGTCTCTCCAGCGGCTCTGCCGTGGTGGCGAGGAGATGTTAACTACCTCGCCTGGTCTACAGGAGGTCGTGGGCTCGATCCCGACCCTGACGCCGGCTGCTGCTGTATATTTGGAGTCTGCGTGTCGCTCTCTCTCTCTTTCTCCCCGTGCTCACGTGGATTTTTTCTCAGGGTGCTCCGCTTTTTTCCCTGCACACGAATAGAATCGACGTCGCCACGCGTTTAGAGAATTTGGCCGCTGCTATGAAATTTCCACACGGTGACGATGATGACGATGATGATGATGATAAACCGCCGCTCCGTTGGGTTATCATTTGTGAGTGCAAGGCCACCCTTCCGAAAAAATAGTTACATCGTAGCTCAGCCGTGGGCCTTACCTGGTAAAATCTAATATATTTCGATTTAAAGCTTTCGTGACTGCAGGGATTCATCATCTTGGTTCTTTCGGTAAAGTCACGTGGAAGGGAAATAATAAAATAATAAAAATTCAACATAATAAAATATTACATTTCGATTTAAAGCTTTCGTGACTGCAGGGATTCATCTTCTTGCTTCTTTCGGTAAAGTCACGTAGAAGGGAAATAATAAAATAATAAAACATCATAAAACAATTCTCACGACGTTTCGGCCACAACGCAAGCAGCCGTCCTCAGGTGAAAACCAGGTCTGTCGGGGCGACAGCGTCAATACAGTTAATAGTTTAATAATTGTATCTCCCCCCTTGTCGCCCTCGGGGCAGTTCGAGGTGTCCGTGGAGGAGAACGTGGTGAGGCCGCTGCTGAACCTGACGGTGCGAGACGTGGACGAGCGTGGCAGCGCCAACTGGGAGGTCTCCTTTTCCATCATCAGCGGCGACACGGACGGCACCTTCAACGTGAGCACGCGGCCACACAGCAACCGTGGCATCCTCGGCCTGGCGCAGGTAACGCGGCTCACGCACCGCAACCGCCACCGCCACTACTACTACTCCAGCACCACCACCGCCACCTTCCCAGCACCAGCACCACCACCACCACAACCAACACCACTACCACCACCTTCCCAGCACCACGACCACCACCACTACCACCTCCCCCAGCACCACCACCACCACTCCAGCCCCACCACCACCAATTCCCCAGCACCACCACCACCACCACCTTTCCAGCACCACGACCACCACCACTACCACCTCCCCCACCACCACCACCACTCCAGCCCCACCACCACCAATTCCCCAGCACCACCACCACCACCACCTTTCCAGCACCACGACCACCACCACTACCACCTCCCCCAGCACCACCACCACCACTCCAGCCCCACCACCACCAATTCCCCAGCACCACCACCACCACCACCTTTCCAGCACCACGACCACCACCACTACCACCTCCCCAGCACCACCACCACCACTCCAGCCCCACCACCACCAATTCCCCAGCACCACCACCACCACCACCACCTTTCCAGCACCACGACCACCACCACTACCACCTCCCCCAGCACCACCACCACCACTCCAGCCCCACCACCACCAATTCCCCAGCACCACCACCACCACCACCTTTCCAGCACCACGACCACCACCACTACCACCTCCCCCACCACCACCACCACCACTCCAGCCCCACCACCACCAATTCCCCAGCACCACCACCACCACCACTTTTCCAGCACCACGACCACCACCACTACCACCTCCCCCACCACCACCACCGCCGCCTCCCCAGCACCACCACCACCACTCCAGCCCCACTAACACCACCTTCCCAGCACCACCACCACCAATTCCCTAGCACCACCTCTCCAGACCCACCACCTCAAGTTTCAAAGTTTCAAGTTTCATGTATTAGGTATAGCCCTGTGAGCCATTCGGCTCTTGAATCGGGTGCAACCGCAACAAACAAAAAAAACAAAAACATGAACAAGAAAACATCTTAAAGTGACTATGTGCAAACAGGAAATCCAAGAAAAGACAGCAAAATATTGCAGAAAAAGCACCGTACGCCAACCACCACGTCCCCACCACCACTACCTCCTCGAACACCACCACCACGCTCGCTAACACAGCACCACCACCACCAATTCCCCAGCACCACCACCACCACTATCACCTCCCCAGCACCACCACCGCCAATTCCCCAGGAACATCACCACCAATTCCCCAACACCATCACCACCACCTCCCCAACCACTACCACCTCTCCAGACCCACCACCTCCCCAACCACCACGTCCCCACTGCCACCACCACCACGCTCGCTAACACACCACCACACCACCACCCCGCCCCCCCCCCCCCCGCCAGCCGCTGGACTACGAGACGTGGCGCGTGCACGCGCTGCTGGTGCGCGCGGACAACCTGGCCCCGCTGGTACCCCATGTGCGCCTCCCCCACGCGTCGACCGCCACCATCGTGGTGTCGGTGCTGGACACCAACGAGGCGCCCGTGTTCCACCACGGGCCCAACGCCACGGTGGTGACGCACCTGCCGGAGGGCCTCCAGCCCGGCGCCGTGGTGGCGCGACTCAACGCCAGCGACCCCGACCTCGCGCAGCAGCAGACCGTGCGGTGAGGGTCGCGGGGAGGTGGCGGTTTTGGCGACGGTGGCGGTGGTGGTGGAGGTGGTGGTGGTGGAGATGGTGGTGGTGGAGGTGACGGTGGGAGGTGGTGGAGGTGGTGGCGGTGGTGGTGGTGGAGATGGTGGTGGAGGTGTAGATGGTGGTGGAGGTGGTGGAGATGGTGGTGGAGGTGGAGATGGTGGTGGAGGTGGTGGTGGTGGTGGTGGAGGTGGTGGTGGTGGAGGTGGAGGCGGTGGTGGAGGTGGTGGTGGTGGTGGTGGTGGCGGTGGGAGGTGGTGGAGGTGGTGGTGGAGGAGGTGGTGGTGGTGGTGGAGGTGGCGGTGGTGGCGGTGGTGGAGATGGCGGTGGAGGAGGTGGCGGTGGAGGTGGCGGTGGTGGCGGTGGTGGAGATGGCGGTGGAGGAGGTGGCGGTGGAGGTGGCGGTGGTGGAGGTGGTGGTGGTGGACGCGGTTGTGCGAGAGGGAGTGGCGGTGCTGGTGGGGAGCGGTGGTGTTAGGGGCCGTCCATAAATGACGTCACGCGATTTTGGACGATTTTTGACCCCACCCCCCCCTCGTCACACAAAGTCAGACCCCCCCCTCAAATATGACGTCACAAAGCTCTGCCCCCCCCCCCCCCCCAAATAAAACATGCTTCAAATCGCTTTAAACTATTGTCTTTGTAGTGCGTATTCAATGTGGCGCTGCACTCTGATGTTGGAGGAGAAAACATTTATTACAAAGTCTATTTAATTAAGCAGAACGTGTTGTCTATATTTATTTAAAGTTGCGCATTTTGCCGTGACGTCACATTTCTCAACCCCCCCCCCCTCGTCACACATCGTCACAAATGTCTGACCCCCCCCCCCCCCCTAGGTGCGTGACGTCATTTATGGACGGCCCCTAAGTGGTTAGCGTTGCGGCCCGAATTCGATTTCTCGGTCGCGGCCAACACCCCGGTGACGATTATCTGAACCCGTCCTGGGACTCCCCTAGGTCGACTCAGCCTGAAATGAGTATCTGCTGCGGTGTCTAAACATCGCTACTAGAGAGACATAGGCGGCCGGGCGTGGTGTTGGCCACCCACCCCCTCGTGTTCCGTTCCAGCCTTCATAGGTGCTGGCTAACAGCACTTGCCCCAACAGTCAGTTGAGGCCACACGGGGGATCTTTATCTTTGGTGGATGTGGTTGTATGAGAGCGGTGGTGGTGGTGGCAGTTGCGGTGGGGGTGGTGATGGCAATGATGGTTGTGGAGGTGATGGTGGTGGTAACGTCACATTATGTCTCACGGTAGCTCACGCTCTCTCTTGATATTATCGTGTCTCTCTCTTCGCCCTCGTGTCTCACTATTCTGTCTCTCTCCATCCCCGTGTCTCTCTCTCCATCCCCGTGTCTCTCCGCCCCCGTGTCTCTCTGTTCTGTGTCTCTTTCTCTCCGTGTCTCACTGGTCCGTGTCTCTCTCCCCGTGTCTCACTGGTCTATGTCTCTCTCCCCGTGTCTCTCTTCCCGTATCTCTCTCCGCCCCCGTGTCTCCATCCCCGTGTCTCTCTCCCCGTGTCTCTCTCTCCGTGTCTTTCCATCCCCGTGTCACTCTCCGTCCCCATGTGTCTCTCTCCCCGTGTCTCTCCCCCCGTGTCTCTCTCCCCGTGTCTCTTTCCGTGTCTCTCCATCCCCGTGTCTCTCTCTCCCCGTGTCTCTCTCTCTCCGTGTCTCTCCATCCCCGTGTCTCTCTCCGCCCCCGTGTGTCTCTCTCCCCGTGTCTCTCCCCCCGTGTCTCTCTCTCCGTTTCTCTCTCTCCGTGTCTCTCTCCCCGTGACTCTCTCTCCGTGTCTCTCTCCCCGTGTCTCACTGGTCCGTGTCTCTCTCCCCGTGTTTCTCCCCGTGTCTCTCTCCCCGTGTCTCTCTCCCCGTGTCTCTCCCCCCGTGTATCTCTCTCCGTGTCTCTCTCTCTCCCCGTGTCTCTCCCCGTGTCTCTCCATCCCCGTGTCTCTCTCCGTGTCTCTCCATCCCCGTGTCTCTCTCCGTGTCTCTCCATCCCCGTGTCTCTCTCCGCCCCCGTGTCTCTCTCCGCGCCGCAGCTACTCGGTGCTGAGCGACCCGGCGCGCTGGCTGCGCGTGGAGGCGCTCACCGGCGTCGTCACCACCACCGCTGTGCTCGACCGCGAGTCGGTGCACGTGAACCACGGCCACGACTACGAGGCCACGTTCCTCGCCTACGACAATGGCACGTGGGGGGGGGGTGCACGTGGGGGGGGGGGGACACGTGGTGGGGGGGAACGTGGGGGGGGGGGACACGTGGGGGGGAGGGCACGTGCGGGGGGGGGCACGTGGGGGGGGGGGGACACGTGGGGGGGGCACGTGGTGGGGGGGGACACACGTGATGGGGGGATACGTGGGGGGGGGCACACATGGAAGGGGGGGGGGCACGTGGTGGGGGGACACGTGGGGGGAGGCACGTGGTGGGAGGGACACGTGGTGGGGGGACACGTGGGGGGGGCACGTGGTGGGGGGGGGGGACACATGGGGGGGACACACGTGATGGGGGGGGGGGATACGTGGTGGGGGGACACGTGGGGGGGGGGGCACGTGGTGGGGGGGGACACGTGGGGGGGCACGTGGGGGGGGGGCACGTGGTGAAGGGGACACGTGGTGGGGGGGGCACGTGGTGGGGGGGGGCACGTGGGGGGGACACATGGGGGGGCACTGGGTGGGGGCACGGGGGGGGGCACGGGGTGGGGGCACGGGGGGGGGCGGGACACGTGGGGGGGGCACGGGGTGGGGGCACGGGGGGGCACGTGGAGTGGGGGGCACGTGGGAGATGGCACGGGGGGGGACATGTGGGGGGGGCAGGTGGGGTGCGGGGGTCACGGGGGAGACACGGGCACATGGAGGCATGGGGACGCAGGGACGCGAGGTTGCGAGCAGCAACATCGGAGTCACCCTGACTGCAGTTGTCACCACCACCACCTCAATCACCACCACCACCACCTCAATCACCAGTCACCACCACCTCAATCACCACCACCACAACCACCACCACAACCACCACCACAACCACCACCTCAATCACCACCACCTCAATCACCACCACCACCACCACCTCAATCACCACCACCACCTCCACCTCAATCTCCACCACCACCACCACCTCAATCACCACCACCACCACCACCACCTCAATCACCAGTCACCACCACCTCAATCACCACCACCACAACCACCACCACAACCACCACCTCAATCACCACCACCTCAATCACCACCACCACCACCTCAATCACCACCACCACCTCCACCTCAATCTCCACCACCACCACCACCACCTCAATCACCACCACCACCACCTCAATCACCAGTCACCACCACCTCAATCACCACCACCACAACCACCACCACAACCACCACCACAACCACCACCACAACCACCACCTCAATCACCACCACCTCAATCACCACCACCACCACCACCTCAATCACCACCACCACCACCTCCACCTCAATCTCCACCACCACCACCACCTCAATCACCACCACCACCTCAATCACCACCACATCAATCAATAACCACCACCAACCTCCTCCATCACCACCACCACCTCAATTCAATAACCACCCCCAACTCCTCAATCATCACCACAACCACCTCAATGACCACCCCCAACTCCTCAATCAATTACCACCTCCTCAATAATCACCCGCCCCCCACCCCCCGCTCCCCCCCCCGCCCACCCCCCACCACCAGGCCACCCGCCGGCTTCATCCACGGCCACGCTGTTGCTGCGTCTCTCCGACGAGAACGACCACGCGCCGGCGGTGACTCCGGCGTGGGCGTTCGCGTGCACGGGGCGCGGAGCGCTCGCCAACCGCTCCCTCGCCACCCTCGTCGCTTCTGACCCCCACGACCTCCCGGGCAACGCGGGGCCCTTCACCTTCCGGCTGGGCCACCGCGCGCAGAGCCCGGGGCCCGCACAGCGCCTGCTCGCACTCCTCGGGGTGCCCACCGAGGAGGAGAAGCTGCGCCTAAGCTGGCGGCTCGACGTCATCAACGGTGAGGTGGCGGTGGTGGTGGTAGAGGTGGCGATGGTGGTGGTGATGGTGGAGGTGTTGGTGATGGTGGTAGAGGTGGTGGTGGAGGTGGTGGTAGAGGTGGTGGTGGAGGTGGTAGAGGTGGTGGTGGTGATGATGGTGGTAGAGGTGGTGGTGGTGGTGGCAGTAGAGGTGGTGGTGATGGTGGTGGTGGTAGAGGTGGTGGCGGTGATGGTGGTAGAGGTGGTGGCGGTAGAGGTGGAGGTGGTGGCGGTGGTGGAGGTGGTGATGGTGGTAGAGGTGATCATGATGGTGGTGATGGTGGTGGTGATGGTAGAGGTGGTGGTGGTGATGGTGGTAGAGGTGATGATGATGGTGGTGGTGGTAGAGGTGGTGGCGGTGATGGTAGAGGTGGTGGTGGTGGTGGTAGAGGTGATGATGATGGTGGTGATGGTGGTGGTGATGGTAGAGGTGGTGGTGGTGATGGTGGTAGAGGTGATGATGATGGTGGTGGTAGAGGTGGTGGCGGTGATGGTAGAGGTGGTGGCGGTGATGGTGGTAGAGGTGGTGATGATGGTAGAGCTGGTGATGATGTTTGGGGATGTGGTGACGGTTGTTGAAATGGTGATGGTGGTGATGGCAGTGATGGTGGCGGTTGTTCAAGTGGTGGTTTTGGTGATGGTAGAGGTGGTGGCCTATGATACCATCAGTAGGCCTGGACTCTGGGTTGGAGTTTGCGTGTCTCTCTCTCTCACCATCATCATCACGGTGGCTAGGAGATGTTAACTGCCTCTACTCGTATACAGGAAGTCGTGGGTTCGATCCCGACCCTGACGCCTGCTGTATGTTTGGAGTTTGCGTGTCTCTCACTCTCATCATCGTCATGACGGTGGCTAGGAGATGTTATCTGCCTCTTCTCGTATACAGGATGTCGTGGGTTCGATCCCGATCCTGACGCCTGCTGTATGTTTGGAGTTTGCGTGTCTCTCTCACTCTCACCATCATCATCGTCATCACGGTGGCTAGGAGATGTTAACTGCCTCTCCTCGTATACAGGAGGTCGTGGGTTCGATCCCGATCTTGACGCCTGCTGTATGTTTGGAGTTTGCGTGTCTCTCTCTCACTCTCACCATCATCATCGTCATCACGGTGGCTAGGAGATGTTAACTGCCTCTCCTCGTATACAGGAGGTCGTGGGTTCGATCCCGACCCTGACGCCTGCTGTATGTTTGGAGTTTGCGTGTCTCTCTCTCATCACGGTGGATAGATGTTAACTACCTCGCCTGGTGCACAGGAGGTCGTGGGTTCGCGTGTCTCTCTCTCCCCTTGGGATTTTCTCTGTCTCTCTCTCCGCGTCCTCCTGATTTTTGACCCTCCACATTGGAGACACGCCCGCTTAGATTATGTCGATTACTTGACTGCTGTGAAATTCCACACGATGACGAAAAGCCAAACCTTCGCTTGGCAGCTGTCATTCGTGATTGCCAGGTCGCTTCTGAAAAAAAAACTAACAGCTCAGTGGGCAGTGCTTGTTAAGAAAACAACTATCTTAGTCTTCTTGGTTCTTTCGGTAAAGTCACGTAGAAGGGAAGTAATAAAATAATAAAAATACAACATAATAAAATTATTTTATAAAATTATTTTATTATGTTTTATTTTTATTATTTTAAACATAATAAAATTATTTTATAAAATTATTTTATCATGTTTTATTTTTATTATTTTATTACTTCCCTTCTACGTGACTTTACCGAAAAAACCAAGAAGATGAATCCCTGCAGTCACGAAAGCTTTAAATAGAAACTATCTTAGTTTTGATAATGGGGTTTTCCCCTTTTTTTCTGGCAGCAAAACCGATGTTAAGTTTCGATTTAAAGCTTCCGTGACTGCAGGGATTCATCTTCTTGGTTCTTTCGGTAAAGTCACGTAGAAGGGGAATAATAAAATAATGAAAATCAAACATAATAAAATAATTAAAATAATAAAATACAATTCTCACGACGTTTCGGCCACAGCGCAAGCAGCCGTCCTCAGGTGAAGAACAGGGCTGTCTTTCCGACATGAACTCGTTCATTGAGACGCTGTATTTCCGACAGCCCTGTTCTTCACCTGAGGACGGCTGCTTGCGTTGTGGCCGAAACGTCGTGAGAATTGTATTATTTTTATTATGTTTGATTTTTATTATTTTATTATTCCCCTTCTACATGACTTTACCGAAAGAACCAAGAAGATGAATCCCTGCAGTCACGAAAGCTTTAAGCACAAAGACAATACCACTATCAGAGTCATGAGAGTTCGGGGTGAGCATCTTCATCATGGGACCTATCTTAGCTTGATTAGCATATACGTTGGAGTGATGTGTTTACCTTTGCTATACTTTGTGTGTTTGTGTTCTGTTTGTTGTTGTGACGTTCTGAGCACGTGACCTGACTGGACATCTGTGAAAACATAGCTTCACAGCTCATCGGATTCCTCCTCCTGAATGAATAAAGATCTCCCGCTCCTCCCTCCTCTAACCACCTCACTCCTCATACACCCTCCACCTCCTTTCTCCTTCACCTCCTCCCTCCCTCCTCCTCCTCCTCTCTATCCCCCTCCCCCCTCCTCCTCCCCCCTCCTCCCCTCCCACCCCCTCCCCTCCTCCCACCCCCCCCCCATCCCCCTCACCCCTCCTCCTCCTACCCCCTCCTCCATCTCCCCCATCCCCCTCCCCCCTCCTCCTCCCTTCTCCCCTCCTCTCCTCTCCCCTCCTACTCCTTCCTCCTCCTCGCCCACCCCCTCCCCCTCCCTCCTCCTCCTCTCTTCCCACCTCCTCCTCCCTCCCCTCCCTCCTCCACCTCCCACCACCACCCCCACCTCCTCCCACCTCCCTCCCCCCTCCCCCGACACGCAGAGACGCACGCCGACCTGGTGTCGCTCCACGAGGTGGCCCGGGGCGAGCACCTCGTGCCCGTCAGCGTGGCCGACTCGGGCCGCCCGCCCCAGACCACGCTGCTCGTGTTCAACGCCTCCGTGTGCTCCTGCTCGACCCGCTCGGGCGGCACGGCGCAGCCCCTCGACTGCAGCTCGGGGGCCCCGGGCGGACCACCGCGGAGGCTCCGCGCCGAGGGGGTCGCGGCGGCGGCGGCGCTCGTTGTGATCGCGCTCTTCGCCCAGGGCGCGTGGTGACAGGTGGGCTGGCTCACTGGCTCACTGGCTCACTGGCTCGGGGGGGGAGGGGAGTCGGGGGGGGGAGTCGTGAGGCTCCCGGCGAGAGCCGTAGACTCGCATAGGGAGTCGTAGACTCACCCCCCCCCCCCCAGGACCCCCCTCCCCACCCACACCCCCCACTCGCACCCCCCTGTGCGGGGAGTGTTTCAACATTGATACAGCCGCACACACAGACACACACACGTACATACACACAGACACACACACGTACATACACACAGACACGCACATACACACACACACACGTGCATACACATACACACACGTACATACACACACACGTGCATACACACACACATACACACACACGTACATACACACAGACACACACGTACATACACACACGTACATACACACAGACACACACGTACATACACACAAACACACACGTACATACACACAGACACACACGTACATACACACAGACACACACGTACATACACACACGCGCACACACACACGTACACAGACACACACGTACATACACACACGTACACACACACGTACATAAACACAGACACACGCGCACACACGCACACACATACACGCGCACACACGCACACACGCACACACACACGCATACACGCGCACACACGCACACGCACGCACACACACGCACACACACGCTCACACACACGCAGACGCTCGATATAGCCTACACAAGTTCACGCACGCACACAATGAGCCTCTGTAAGCCCTCCACACACACACAAAGTCACGTCGAAGTCCACACCCCACGTGACAAATACACAAGATCTCCCCCGTGTAGCCTGAACTGACTTTAGGGGCAAGTGCTGCTAGCGAGGGTCGCAGACTCGCACAGAGACCCATAGACTCACACAGAGACCCACAGACTCGCACAGAGACCCACAGACTCGCACAGAGACCCACAGACTCGCACAGAGACCCACAGACTCACACAGAGACCCACAGACTCACACAGAGACCCACAGACTCACACAGAGACCCACAGACTCACACAGAGACCCACAGACTCGCACAGAGACCCACAGACTCACACAGAGACCCACAGACTCACACAGAGACCCACAGACTCACACAGAGACCCACAGACTCACACAGAGACCCACAGACTCACACAGAGACCCACAGACTCACACAGAGACCCACAGACTCGCACAGAGACCCACAGACTCGCACAGAGACCCACAGACTCGCACAGAGACCCACAGACTCACACAGAGACCCACAGACTCACACAGAGACCCACAGACTCGCACAGAGACCCACAGACTCACACAGAGACCCACAGACTCACACAGAGACCCACAGACTCGCACATAGACCCACAGACTCGCACAGAGACCCACAGACTCACACAGAGACCCACAGACTCACACAGAGACCCACAGACTCGCACAGAGATCCACAGACTCGCACAGAGACCCACAGACTCGCACAGAGACCCACAGACTCGCACAGAGACCCACAGACTCGCACAGAGACCCACAGACTCACACAGAGACCCACAGACTCACACAGAGACCCACAGACTCGCACAGAGACCCACAGACTCGCATAGAGACCCATAGACTCACATACAGAGCCATATAATCGCATAGAGAGCCATAGACTCACATATAGACCCACAGACTCGCACAGCGAGTCGATGTAACTGCCTCTCGTCTCCCCCCCCTCTCGTCCCGCCTGCAGGTCGGTGAGTTCCCAAGCTCCGGGTCGCAGCTCAGTTCCGACGGAAATCAAAGACCTCGTGAACACGGGCTCACCCCCCCCCCACCACCCCCCCCACCACCACCACCCCCACCACGACCCCTACAACACCCCCACCACCACCACCCCCACCCCCCCAACACCCCCCCCACCACCACCACCACCCCCGCCCCCACCCCCCCCAACACCCTCCCACCACCACCACCCCCGCCCCCACCCTCCCCAACACCCCCCCCCACCCCCCCAACACCCCCCCCCCCACCACCACCACCCCCACCACGGAGGGGGAGCAGACCGCGCTCCGCGGTGCAGCCAGAGATGTACATACGGCACGAGCCCCCCCCCCACTACCCCATGCGCCCCCGCCCCCCCCACCCCCCCGTGCCCCCCCCCCCGCCACGCTCTCCCACGGCGCCAGCTTGGCAGCTTGGGGTCACGTGGGGAGTGTTTCACCATTGCTACCGCTGAGAACGCACACATGCACACACACATACGCACGCACACACACACGCGCACACACACACACACGTGCACACACACACACACTCGATATAGCCCACACATGTACACACACACTCGCACACACACACACACGCGCACACTCGCACACACACGCACGCACACACACACACGCGCACACTCGCACACACACGCACGCGCACACACTCGATATAGCCCACACATGTACACACACACGCACAATGAGCCTCTGTAAGCCCTACAGACACACACACAAAGTCACGTCCAAGTCCACACCCCACGTGACAAATACAAAGATCCCCCCTATAGCCTGAACTGACTTTAGGGGCAAGTGCTGCTAGCGAGTAGCAGCAGCAGCGCCTAGGGGGGGGGGGGCAGCACCACGCCCGGCCGCCTTTGTCTTCCCTAGCGTCGACGTTTGCGACGCACCACACCGGGATCACCACTGCATCATCACCACAGCATCACCACTGCATCATCACCACAGCATCACCACAGCATCATCACAGCATCACCACAGCATCATCACAGCATCACCACATCACCACCACAGCATCACCACTGCATCGCCACTGCATCACCACATCACCACCACAACATCGCCACAGCATCACCACTGCATCACCACTGCATCATCACAGCATCATCACAGCATCACCACTGCATCACCACTGCATCACCACATCACCACCACAGCATCATCACAGCATCACCACTGCATCGCCACAACATCGCCACAGCATCACCACTGCATCACCACAGCATCACCACTGCATCACCACAGCATCACCACTGCATCATCACTGCATCACCACAGCATCATCACAGCATCACCACTGCATCACCACTGCATCACCACTGCATCATCACTGCATCACCACTGCATCACCACAGCATCATCACAGCATCGCCACAGCATCACCACTGCATCATCACTGCATCACCACAGCATCACCACAGCATCACCACTGCATCACCACTGCATCACCACTGCATCACCACAGCATCATCACAGCATCACCACAGCATCACCACATCACCACCACATCACCACCACAACATCCCCACAGCATCACCACTGCATCACCACAGCATCATCACAGCATCATCACAGCATCACCACAGCATCACCACATCACCACCACAGCATCACCACTGCATCACGACTGCATCACCACAGCATCACCACAGCATCATCACAGCATCACCACTGCATCGCCACAACATCACCACTGCATCACCACAGCATCACCACAGCATCACCACTGCATCACCACAGCATCACCACAGCAGACTGCTGCTGTTGGGGCAAGTGCCGCCTACGAGGGCTGCCACGTGTACAAAGTGGCACGCGCACAACAAGAACGACGCATGGGCACGCGCCCATCCGCCGCGGGACACCGAGTCTCCACGTGGCTATCGTCTTCCCCCCCCCGCTCGCCTCCCCGCTCGCCCCCCGCTCGTTTTGCCAGGGAGAGCTTCACCAAAATCTCGAGAGAGGGGGGGGGGGGGTCTCTGGCAAGCTTTCGCGGCGGTCGAGTGGGGCCGGGGGGGTGTCCCGATGTCGCTGAATATTTTTTTCAGAATCTTTGGGGGGCTCCCAACGTCCACTGCGAGCGAAGCTGCATTGATGCCGCAAGATTAATCGGGGGGAGGGGGGGGCAGCCTGCCGGGTTCGAACCGCCAACTGTTAGGCAGCATCACGCGGCCAATGGTGAGGCAGCGTCACTCAGCCAATGGTGAGGCAGCGTCACTCAGCCAATGGTGAGGCAGCGTCACTCAGCCAATGGTGAGGCAGCGTCACTCAGCCAATGGTGAGGCAGCGTCACTCGGCCAATGGTGAGGCAGCGTCACGCAGCCAATGGTGAGGCAGCGTCACTCAGCCAATGGTGAGGCAGCGTCACTCAGCCAATGGTGAGGCAGCGTCACTCAGCCAATGGTGAGGCAGCGTCACTCGGCCAATGGTGAGGCAGCGTCACTCAGCCAATGGTGAGGCAGCGTCACTCAGCCAATGGTGAGGCAGCGTCACGCAGCCAATGGTGAGGCAGCGTCACGCAGCCAATGGTGAGGCAGCGTCACTCAGCCAATGGTGAGGCAGCGTCACTCAGCCAATGGTGAGGCAGCGTCACTCAGCCAATGGTGAGGCAGCGTCACTCAGCCAATGGTGAGGCAGCGTCACGCAGCCAATGGTGAGGCAGCGTCACTCAGCCAATGGTGAGGCAGCATCACTCAGCCAATGGTGAGGCAGCATCACTCAGCCAATGGTGAGGCAGCGTCACTCAGCCAATGGTGAGGCAGCATCACGCGGCCAATGGTGAGGCAGCGTCACTCAGCCAATGGTGAGGCAGCGTCACTCAGCCAATGGTGAGGCAGCGTCACTCAGCCAATGGTGAGGCAGCGTCACGCAGCCAATGGTGAGGCCGCGTCACTCAGCCAATGGTGAGGCAGCATCACTCAGCCAATGGTGAGGCAGCGTCACTCAGCCAATGGTGAGGCAGCGTCACTCAGCCAATGGTGAGGCAGCGTCACTCAGCCAATGGTGAGGCAGCGTCACTCAGCCAATGGTGAGGCAGCGTCACTCAGCCAATGGTGAGGCAGCATCACGCGGCCAATCGGGAGGCCGCGTCACGCCGCCCCCCTCGCTCTCCCCCCTCCCCATGCATCCAGGTGATTTCGAGGAGACGCTGTGAAGACAAAACGGCCGGTGACTTGCGACGGCGCGTCGCCGGCCACCGTCAAACGCGAGAAAAACTTCGTGGCGGCTGAGGACCCCCCCCCCCCGCCCCCCCAACTCGCGACAAACTCCTCCGCCCTCCGCTCGGAAAGGGGCCTTCCCATTACCCCGGCCGGCACCGCCGCCGCCGTGCCGTTATTCGACCACGGCGTCCGGCGTTTCGCACCGAAAGCGCTCCTTATCTAAGCCACGGTGGCAAGGAGATGTTAACTCCCTCGCCTGGTGTACAGGAGGTCGCGGGTTGTATCCCGACGCCTGACGCCCGCTGCTGTATATTTGCAGTTTGCGTGTCGCCTTCGATCTCTCCGTGGTCGCGTGGATCTTTCTCCGGGCCCTCCGGTTTCTTTTTTCCCTCGGCCGTTCAGAATGAACGTCCCGCGCTTAAAAGAGTATTCGGCCCAAGAGAAATGTCCACGCGACGCCGGCGACGACGACGATGAAGAGCCACTTCTCGTCGCGCTATTGTTCGGGATAGCCGGGGGTCACTTCTGCGAAAGAGCTACGTGGTTCAGTGGGGCCTTACCTGGTCAAATAAAAAATTAACCCGTAAAAACAAAGTTTTTCACTATAAATCCTTTATATGCGTGGCATCGGTTTTAGTTTATTATTCATTTCTGTTTTTGTTGAGTTTCATTTTTATCACATTGGTATTTTAAATTAAATACGAATTTTTTTTTTCCTAAAAAGTGGAAAATTTTGAAAATATTTTTGCACGAAAATAAATTGTCACGCACAACGAGTCTGTGTGCAAAATAGTCAGCTCGATTGGATCACGGGAAGTGGGTTAAAAAACGACCGAAAGATTTGCACGGTCGTAAGCGCGCAAGCAAGCAAGTGAACTTAATATAAAGGATTTAAAAATAAGTTCGTTTTCAAAATGTAGTCTTTTCATAGGTCCCAGCCACAGAATTCGCTCATTCAATCCCTGGCTCTCGGTCGTGGTTGCCGTCGTGGTTTTCGTCGTCGTTGCCGTCGTGGTTGCGTCAAAACGCCGTGACGACGACGCGGCCGTCCGGATGACCCCCCCCCCCCGGCCCCCCATCGGCATCGAGCTTCCGTGCGTGGCAAATCACCGGAACGAGATTCCCCTCAAGGAGATTGAGCGCCACCTCCCTGTTTGTTTGGACTAAATCAATAAATGTCACACGACAGCCCTCCCCCGTGTCTTTGCCATTCGCGACGTTCCTACGGCGGCGTTCCCAAGAGCGGCGTTCCTACAGTGGCAACGTTTCGACAGCGGCAACGTTCCGACAGCGGCATTCCTCCTCCGACGTTCCCACAGCGGCGTTCCTACAGCGGCAACGTTCCAACAAAGGCGTTCCTCCGACAACGTTCCTCCTCCGACGTTCCTCCTCCGACGTTCCTCCTCCGACGACATTCCTCCTCCGACGTTCCCACAGCGGCGTTCCTACAGCGGCAACCTTCCGACGACGGCGTTTCTACGGCGATGTTCCGACAGCGGCGTTCCCACAGCGGCGACGTTCCAACAACGACATTCATATGGCGACCGTTCCTACAGCACGTTAAGGCGACAGTCGCTGGGGGATGTTAACTACCTCGCCTGGTATACAGGAGGTCGTGGGTTCGATCCCAACTCTGACGCCTGTTGTATATGTGGAGTTTGCGTCTCTCTCATCATCATGGTGGCGAGATGTTGACTCCCTCGCCTGGTGTGCAGGAGGTCGTGGGTTCGATCCCAACCGTGATGCCTGTTGTTGTATATTGGGAGTTTGCATCTCTCTCTCATCATCATCACGGTGGCTAGGAGATGTTAACTACCTCGCCTGGTGTACAGGAGGCCGTGGGTTCGATCCCGACCCTGACGCCTGCTGCTGTATATTTGGAGTTTGCGTCTCTCTCTCATCATCATCACGGTGGCTAGGAGATGTTGAGTACCTCGCTTGGTGTACAGGAGGTCGTGGATTTTTCTCCAGGTCCTCAGGTTTTTCCCTCCACATTTATAATCAACGTCACGCGTTTTGAGAGTATTTTGGCTGCTATAAATGTCCACAATCTCCAGGTGATGATAATAAGCCACTTGATTGGGCGATCATTTGTGAAAGAGTGCTGCGTAGCTCAGGTAGTGGGCCTTACCTGGTAAAATACAAAATAGTTTAGGTGAGCATCTACATCATGGGACCTCCTTTGCCAGTATTGCTACCGCCCCCGCCGCGGGCGAAGCAGACGGCGCGTAGTCACAGCAGCCCCGAGTGTGGCAGCGGAAAGTCTTTGGCGGTGAGCGGTTATTTCGCCGCGCGACACAGTGCCAGACGGCGAGCGTTCGGCGAGATTCACGGCGTACGCGGCGAGACGTCGGGGGGGGGGGGGGGGCGTACCGTGTCATTCCGTGCGCGTGTACCCAGAATTTCCACACCGCTCGGCCACGCAGCTCAAGGAAGCAGTCCGGCGCGAGCTGTCTACGCGACGTCACCAAACAGCCGGGCGAGGACTCGCCGTACTGACCAGGCCCGGCCGCTGGTGCACGAACCACCGAAAGCTCCTCAACCGCGGATGACTCATTGGCGGGGTCACAGTCACGTGCGACAAGCACTCTCGTTGCGTTGTTCAGTGAAATGTTTTATTTCCTTTTTTTCTTACTTTTACTCGCGCAAGCCTCCGTCCCGTTCTCGGCAAAAAAGTCGCAAAAAACCCGGCTCCTCCCTCCGCCAACGCGCCACGGAGCAGCCGGGAGCGGGGCAGCAGGGATCGGGGCAGCCGGAAGCGGGGCAGCCGGGATCGGGGCAGCCCGCTCGAAGCGTCCGCGGCGCGGGTATGCCGGGATTGGGGCCCGGGGGATTGTTGTCCGCGCGCGCTTTTCACCGAGCCGGCCAACGCGGGGGGTTGCGGTGAAGGTGGAGAAGCGCCGATTCCCCGCGCAGCGTTGGCCCCCCCCCAGGTTCACACCCCTGCTCAGCTTCGGCGTGTTTACCTCCCGTGGAGAATGACCGTAGTATTCTCTGGACTGCTGTAGGACACGCGACCGCATGGGCCGGTACATTTTAAAGCAAAGGCTGGTGTGCAAAGCTTATTAATAGCACAGAGTTCGGATATTAGACCATGTCCTGCCGTATGCAATTATCACGCAATTATTAAAATTAACCTTTTAACTAAATCTTAACTCGTAAATATTTTTTACGATTGTGCACCCGTTGAACCACGGACGCTTCCACCCCCCACCGCGTGCGGTGACCACCGGGGAACAAATTGCCGCGCCGCACCGTCATGCCGTCACAGGCGATTCCTTCGCCCAGCGTCCCTGTGAATCGGGGCTGCGGTTCGAGTGATGACTAGGGGGCGTGGGTGGGTGGTGAAGATCTCCGTAAAATCTCAACGCAAAGGAGATTTAGATTTTTTTTCTAAATTAAAACAATCATTTGGGCACGCCAGCTAAAACGATCGCGCGACGAAATCTTGAAATCAATCAAATTTTTTTTTCCCTTTCGACAAAATTCCACAAACCCAAGCGTCGCCGTATCTGTCGCACCCACGATCACTCGAGCGCCGTCATCGCCGCCACCGCCGTCGTCACAGCTTGCTGGTGTCGTCATCACAGCTTGCTGGCGCCGTGGTCACAGCTTGCTGGTGTCGTCATCACAGCTTGCTGGTGTCGTCATCACAGCTTGCTGGCGCCGTGGTCACAGCTTGCTGGTGTCGTCATCACAGCTTGCTGGTGTCGTCATCACAGCTTGCTGGCGTCGTCGTCACAGCTTGTTGTTGTCATCGTCACAGCTTGCTGCTGTCGTCACAGCTTGCTGCTGTCGTCACAGCTTGCTGGTGTCGTCATCACAGCTTGCAGGTGTCGTCATCACAGCTTGCTGGCGTCGTCGTCACAGCTTGCTGGCGCCGTCGTCACAGCTTGCTGGCGCCGTGGTCCCCCCCGCCGCCGCCGCCGCCGCCGCCAGCGCCGCCACGTCGGCGGACGCCGGGGCGCGCCCGTGCCGCTCGTAGTCGGCGGCGTTGCGCACCGTCCGCTCCGGCCAGTAGCGGTAGTTGGCCATGAGGCCCGCCGAGGAGCGGAGGGCCCGCGGCGACGCGTCCGCCATCCAGTTGAGGCGCCAGGCCTCGGCGCCGTTGCGCAGGTGGAAGTGCGCCACGGGGTCGAGCGCCCGGCCGCGGCGACGCTCGCCCACCAGGTAGCGCGCGCAGAGACGCGTGAGCGGCGCGCGCATCGCCTCGCGCAGATCGCCGCGGCGCCACCAGTCCAGGGAGGCCGCGCCGGCTCCAGTCCGTCGTTCCCCCGCCGCCGCCGCCGCCGCCGCCGTCTTTGTCCGAGTCGTCGGGGCAGCTGTGCGAGCGCGAGAGCGCCGCGCGCAACGCCGAGACGGCCGGGAGGCCAGTGAGGGCTTCCAACTTGGCCGCCTCGTCGGGCAGCAGGAAGGGCGGGAGGGCGGCGGGCGGCCTCTTCGGGGTTGGAGGAGGGCGAGGGCGGGAGGGGGGTGACCGAGGTCAGGGGTCGCGGGTCGTACGAGGCCAGCACGCCCGCGAGCCAGCGCGTGAATCCCGGGATCGGAGAAAGGCTGGAGAAGTCGCGCAGCGTCGACGGGAACTCCGCCTTGCGGGGGGGGGGGGGGGGGGGGGGGGGGGAGCAGAGGTCGCAAACGGGTTTTGATTCCTTACCCGTACCCGGCCGCACCAGGGTCGCAAATGGGTACCCGTTCCCATACCCGGCCGGGTACGGGTTCCCGTTTCCAACCCGTACCCATACCCTACCCGAAATGAGTGACAAACGGTGACTCACCAGTGACTCACGGCCTACCCGTACCGTACCCGTACCCGGCTGCACCAGGGTCGCAAATGGCTACCCGTACCCAGCCGGGTACGGTAGCTGGGTATCGGGTAGGGTACGGGTATCGGGTACCCAGTTGCGACCTCTGGGGGGGGGTCATAGCAGGCCACACGTGCACAGTGGAGGCAGCGAGAGTTTGTGGAATCAAAGGCAAAGATGCCCCCGTGTAGAATTAACAGACTGAACGGCACACGGGATGGGCGGGTGGCCAGCACCACGCCCAGCCAAGTGGAAATGTTTTTTACACATCGCACCAGGAACTCGATTGAGGCTGAGTCGACCTAGGGGAGGCCCAGGACCGCTTCGGATAATCGTCACCATTGCCGGGTTCGTCGCGCAGCAGGGCGCTAACTTGTGAGGCTCCCTCCTTAACTGTGGGGCGCCATCTCCTGGCGTGCCAGGACAGTACAGCAAGCGGGTTCATGTCCTCAGGTTTTTTCGGTAAAGTCAGGTAGGTAAAAAATTAAAAAAACTCTAACAGATAGGTGGAATTCCTCCCCGTAGAGGGTATTAATTCTAGATTTGAAGCTTTCGTGACTGCAAGGCATATTCTTAGGTTTTTTTCACCTATCTGTTAGAGTTTTTTACATTTTTTACCTTTGTGACTTTACCGAAAAAATCTAAGAATATGCCTTGCAGTTACGAAAGCTTCAAATCTAGAATCGGGTTAATGTCCCCTTGCCGTACGGGGGGGTGGGGGATTGAGCGTTACCTCTCCGGCTCCCTTGTTAACATCTCCTAGCCCATGGTGGCTAGAAGATGTTAACAAGGGTGATGTTAACATCTCCTAGCCACCGTGATAATGATGAGAGAGAGACACGCAAGCTCTAAATATAGAGCAGCAGGCGTCAGGGTCAGGATCGAACCCACGACCTCCTGTACATCAGGCGAGGTAGTCAACATCTCCTAGCCACCGTGATGATAATGATGATGAGTGAGAGAGACGCAGACTCCAAATACACAGCAGCAGCAGGAGGCAGGGTCTGGATCTAACCCACGACCTCCTGTGTATCAGGCGAGGTAATCAATATCTCCTAGCCACCGTGATGATGATGATGAGAGAGACACCACAAACTCCAAATATACAGCAGCAGGCGTCAGGGTCGGGATCGAACCCACGACCTCCTGTGCACCAGGCGAGGGAGTTAACATCTCCTAGCCACCGTGATGATGATGAGAGAGAGAGACGCAAACTCCAAATATACAGCAGCAGGCGTCAGGGTCGGGATCGAACCCACGACCTCCTGCGTACCAGGCGAGGGAGTTAACATCTCCTGCCACCGCTGTGCCTCAAACTCTTGTCAGGACCCCCAGAGTAGTTCGCGGCTCTTCCTGAACGTAGTAAGTCATCACAAGTGGTCGTAGCCTTGCCATCAGGGGGCACATAAGGAGGTGGGGAAGGTGAACTGAACCTCACATTTCTCCGAGTGTAAACTCCCGTAATCCCCGGCTACGTGGCGTTAATAAACCCTGAAGTCCGTACCCAACGCTGTTGTCCTCCTGATCAACATCCACTTGTAACCCAGCGTGGCGAGCCCTAGGGGGGTACCCTAGGGGGGTACCCGGTTGCGACCTCTGGTTTACCGTCACACCGGCGTTACCGCGAGCTCACCCCCAACCCCTCACCTGCAGCTGGCGCACCACGTGCTTGATGAGGTGGTGGCCCAGGTCGATGCCCTGCAGGCCGCGCTGGGTGGCGCTGATGGAGTAGAAGACGGCCGCCCGGACTCTGCCTGCGTCCTCGGGGGGCGCGACGATTCCCGCGGGGGCCGCTGGGGCCGCTGGGGTCGCAGGGCCCGGGGTGGCGGCCGTGGGAGACTCACGCACGATGGACTGAGCGGGGCGGGGGGAGGGGGGGAGCAGGAGGGATGAGTGAGAATTGGGGAGGGGAGGAGGGGTGATGAGAGGGGAGAGAGAAGAATGAGTGGGTTGGAGGAGAAAAGGGGAGGAGGGGGAGGAGGGGGGAGGAGGGGGAAGAGGGGGAGGAAAGGGGAGGAGGAGGGGAGGGAGGAGGGATGAGAGGGGAGAGATGATAATGCAGGAGGAGGGGTAAAGAGGGGAGTGGGATGGGAGAATTAGAAAGGGAGGAGGGAGGGAGGGAGGGAGGACGAGGCAGGGTGGGGCTAGCAGCGACAGCCATCGATGCTCGTGGCGATCGTGAGCTGCCCTCCTCAGCGCTGAGTCTGAGAGCGCTCCACACGTTTGAGAGGGCACCCCCGGTGGCAGCTGTCCCTGCGGGGCACGAGGGGGACTCGGCACCTGGCCTGTCACTAGGGGGCGATCTTGCTTCTCTCAACTCGAGTCTCTTTCAGCATCGGCATGTTCTGGCCACTCTCACTCACACTCTCACTCAATCTCACACACTCTCACACACTCTCACACACTCTCCCACACACTCCCACACACTCCCACAGACTCTCTCACACACTCTCTCACACTCTCTCACACTCTCTCACACTCTCTCACACTCTCTCACACTCTCTCACACTCTCTCACACTCTCTCACACACTCACTTCCACACACTCTCTCACTCACTCTCTCTCATACTCTCCCACACTAACACTCACTTTCACACACTCTCTCACTCACTCTCTCTCACACTCTTTCACACACTCTCTCACTCTCTCTCACTCTCTCTCACTCACTCTCACATACTTTCACACTCACCCACACTCTCAAGAACGGGGGGGGGGGGGGCAGGGGGTGGGTATGGGGGGGGTGTAGATCCGCACAAACTCACGCAGAAAAAGGTACCCGGGTCGAAAATCGTGCCCAGCCCGGCTCTTGTCGCCATGGGGGCGGCACAAGGAGAGCCGCCAGCACCCGGCGGTGGCCCCCCGTGCCGCCCCCACGCACGCGGGCGGGCGGGTAAGCGGGCGGGCCGGGTATTGGGCGGGCGGGTGGGTGGGCGAACAGGCGAGGGGAGTGGGTGAGCGGTTGAACGGGCGGGTGAGCGGGTGAGTGGGCGGGTGAGCGGGCGGGCGGGTCGAGTGTGTGAACGGGCGAGCGAGCGGGTGAGTGTGTGAACGGGCGAGCGAGCGAGCGGGCAGGGCGAGCGGGCGGGTGGGCGAGCAGGCGAGGGGGGTGGGTGAGCAGGCGGGTGAGCGGGCGAGCGAGCGGGCGGTACCCGGATGTCGCTGGAGATGGCGTCGGTGAGCGCCACGTGCAGTACGACGAGCGGCTCACGGGGCATGGCGGCGTGCGTGAAGACGAAGCAGCGGCGGTAGGGCCCCACGCGGCGCCGCATGTCCGTCCAGTGGCGCACCGGGTGCACCGCCTCGTACCTACGCACGCACAGAGGTACCCCGGGTAGCCCTCGCGCGTCGCCGGGGCAAGTGCTGTCGGCGAGCGGCACCTGCGAAGGCCGGCGCGGCTACGGTGATGGCCAGCCTATAGTGATGGCCAGCCTATAGTGATGGCCAGCCTATAGTGATGGCCCAACTATGGTGACGGCACAGCGAAAGTGAGGGGGTGTTTGCACTATGAGACATCTCCTTTACCAGTGGCAAAATATAGTAATAGGTTTTTACCCTTTCAACTGGTACAAAAACTGACACCTTTATACAAGGCATCATGTTTATGCTTACCCCGAGCTCTCAATACTCTGATAGTGCGCTGTTTTTGAGCTGTACGCCTTTTGGCGTCATCTGGTCCAACACCAATGGAGACTAGGCTCTAAGAAAAGCTGTCTCGGGTGTGGACCAATCAACTTCAAGGACAGTGCATATCATTACCATGATCAAAGTTGTTTCTTTTTGTTTGCATTTTGACTGCTTGTGTTGTCGTTATTGCAAACATGATGCCTTGTATAAAGGTGTCAGTTTTTGTACCAGTTGAAAGGGTAAAAACCTATTACTACTGAAGCGGTGTTGTGCGTTGGGTGGGTTGTGTGGGCGCTACCCACTGTGCAATCTTCTGCAGCATGTCACACGGGGACTGCCACGTGACTCTCTCCAGATGCAGGAGTCCAATTGAGAACCACTCGGACAGCAGCGCCTTCAGCACCATGGCCAGCTCCTAGTAACAGCAGCAGCAATAGCAACAGCAGAGATAGCAACAGCAGCAACAGCAGAGGTAACAACAGCAGCAACAGCAGAGATAGCAACAGCAGCAACAGCAGGGGTAGAAACAGCAGCAACATCAGAGGTAGCAACAGCAGCAACAGCATAGGTAGCAACAGCAGAGGTAGCAGCAGCAGCAACAGCAGCAACATCAGAGGTAGCAACAGCAGCAACAGCAGAGGTAGCAACAGCAGCAACAGCAGAGGTAGAAACAGCAGCAACATCAGAGGTAGCAACAGCAGCAACAGCAGCAACAGTAGCAACAGCAGCAACAGCAGCAGCAACATCAGAGGTAGCAACAGCAGCAACAGCAGAGGTAGCAGCAGCAACAGCAGCAACAGCAGAGGTAGCAACAGCAGCAACAGCAGAGGTAGCAACAGCAGCAACAGCAGCAACAGTAGCAACAGCAGCAACAGCAGCAGCAACATCAGAGGGTAGCAACAACAGCAGCAACAGCAGAGGTAGCAACAGCAGCAACAGCAGAGGTAGCAACAGCAGCAACAGCAGAGGTAGCAACAGCAGCAACAGCAGAGGTAGCAACAGCAGCAACAGCAGAGGTAGCAACAGCAGCAACAGCAGCAACAGCAGAGGTAGCAACAGCAGCAACAGCAGCAACAGCAGAGGTAGCAACAGCAGCAACAGCAGCAACAGCAGAGGTAGCAACAGCAGCAACAGCAGAGGTAGCAACAGCAGCAACAGCAGAGGTAGCAACAGCAGCAACAGCAGAGGTAGCAACAGCAGCAACAGCAGAGGTAGCAACAGCAGCAACAGCAGAGGTAGCAACAGCAGCAACAGCAGAGGTAGCAACAGCAGCAACAGCAGAGGTAGCAACAGCAGCAACAGCAGCAACAGCAGAGGTAGCAACAGCAGCAACAGCAGAGGTAGCAACAGCAGCAACAGCAGAGGTAGCAACAGCAGCACAGCAGAGGTAGCAACAGCAGCAAGCAGAGGTAGCACAGCAGCAACAGCAGAGGTAGCAACAGCAGCAACAGCAGAGGTAGCAACAGCAGCAACAGCAGAGGTAGCACAGCAGCACAGCAGAGGTAGCAACAGCAGCAACAGCAGAGGTAGCAACAGCAGCAACAGCAGCAACAGCAGAGGTAGCAACAGCAGCAACAGCAGAGGTAGCAACAGCAGCAACAGCAGAGGTAGCAACAGCAGCAACAGCAGAGGTAGCAACAGCAGCAACAGCAGCAACAGCAGCAACAGCAGAGGTAGCAACAGTGATTCGCACAGCGTCATCTAGAGCAGTGGTTCTCACAGTGTAGTCTAGAACAGTAGTTCTCAGTGTGGTCTAGAACAGTGGTTCGCACAACGTGATCTAGAGCTGTGGTTCTCAGTGTGGTCTAGAGCAGTGTTTCTCACAGTGTAGTCTAGAACAGTGGTTCTCAGTGTGGTCTAGAGCACATCGCTATCAACCCACACGGTTCACCCCGTATTCTTGTACAGGGAAATCGAGTTTTCAGGTCCATACGGCGTACAGCCGTTTCGATGCGGGCAACAAAAAGAATCCGTCTATTTGTTTGCGTTTCACCCTCGTGATGATGGGACTTTGTAGGAGCAACGTTGAGATTTGTTAGGGGCAATGGGTGACCATTAAGGTCTGAGTTGGTCTGTAATAAGGTAGGGCACTGATAAGGGGTTGCCAGGGATGTGATGCTGATGAGAATGGTGGTGATGGTGGTGGTGCTCATGAAGCTGTTGATGACAATGGTGGTGATGGTGGTGGTGAGGTTGATGGAACTGCTGATGAGAATGGTGGTGGTGGTGGTGGTGAAGGTGGTGGTGGTGGTGGTGAAGGTGGTGGTGAAGGTGGTGGTGAGGGTGATGGATCTGCTGATGAGAATGGTGGTGGTGGTGGTGGTGAAGGTGGTGGTGAGGGTGATGGATCTGCTGATGAAAATGGTGGTGGTGGTGAGAGTGATGGAACAGCTGATGAGAAGGATGGTGGTGAGGGTAATGGATCTGCAGATGAGAATGGTGGTGATGGTGGTGGTGCTGATGAAGCTGTTGATGAGAATGGTGGTGGTGAGGTTAATGGAACTGCTGATGAGAGTGGTGGTGGTGGTGGTGAAGATGGTGGTGACGGTGATGGATCTGCTGATGAAAATGGTGATGGTGGTGGTGAGAGTGATGGAACTGCTGATGAGAAGGATGGTGGTGAGGGTGATGGAACTGCAGATGAGAATGGTGGTGATGGTGGTGGTGCTGATGAAGCTGTTGATGAGAATGGTGGTGGTGGTGAGGGTGATGGCACTGCTGATGAGAATGGTGGTGGTGGTGGTGGTGAAGGTGGTGGTGAGGGTGATAGATCTGCTGATGAGAATGGTGGTGATGGTGGTGAGGGTGATGGATCTGCTGATGAGAATGGTGGTGATGGTGGTGAGGGTGATGGATCTGCTGATGAGAATGGTGGTGGTGAAGGTGGTGGTGAGGGTGATGGAACTGTTGATGAGAATGGTGGCGGTGGTGGTGAGGGTGATGGATCTGCTATGAGAGTGGTGATTTTCACCGTGGTGGTCCAGTAGACCACCCCGCGGTCCACCACCAGAGCCACCGCTCTCACCGTGGAACCCCCCGTGGCCACTCGCCTTGAGGTGGGGCCCATCGGCCACGTCCCGGGCCGCCACGGCGGCGAGCGCGTCGGCACGCATGTCCACCAGCAGCTTGACGCCTCCCTCCAGACGACTGAGACGCACCAGGAGGTGTTTGTAGCGCGGGGCGAGGGCCTGACGCAGCCTCTCCTCGGCCTGCAGCAGAGTGGCCGGGTCTCGCGTTCCCTCTCCCTGCGTGCGGAGAGGGGGGCGGGCCCCCCCTTACGATTATTAGGAAGCTTCCGGAGCCGTGGCACTTTTTTTGTATCGCCGTCGAGGTCGACAAAGCTCATTTGCACTATGAGACCTCCTTTAACAGCGGCAAAATATAGTGGTAGGTTTTTGAAAGGGTAAAAATCTATCACTAAAGCTCATTTGTTTAGAGGCTGATTTTTGTTTGTTGTTTAGTTTGTTGTCCTTCACCCCCTCCCACTCCACACCTCCGATTTGCACGGTTTGCTGTGGAAGAAGTTCAGCGTACATAGAAAATGACGAAGATCCCTCCCCCCTCCACGGTGTAGCCTGTAACAGACTGTAGGGTCAAGTGCTGTTGGCGAGCTGCACCTATGAAGGCCGGCACTGTGGTACACGAGGTCCACGCTCGGCCGCCTTTGACTCCCCGGTGACGATGTTTTTTTTTTACACATCGCACCAATTGAGGCTGAGTGGAGCTAGGGGAAGGCCCAAGACCGGTTCAGATAATCGTCACTCGTGTTGGTGGCCGCGAGCCGGGAATCGAACTCGTGTCGCCCGGATTTCTGGTCACGCACGCCAACCACCAACAACCACCAACCACCGACCAACCACCACCACCACGACCAACCCCCACCCACCGCCACCACCAACAACCACCACAACCACCACCAACCACCCACTACCACCAACCACCACCACAACCAACCACCACCCACCATCAACCACCACCACCACCAACCAACACCACCACCAACCAACACCACCACCAACCAACGCCACCACCAACCAACACCACCCAACACAACCCACCACCACCAACCACCCACAACCACCACCGCCAACCACTACCAACCACCACCACCTATCACACACACCACCAACCACCACCAACCACCCACAACCACCACCCACCAACCACCATCTACTACCAACCACCAACATTACATACCACAAATCAACACCACCACCAACTATCACCACCAATCACCAACCACCACCACCATCAACCACCACCACCACCAACCACCATTAACCATCACCACCATCAACCACCACATACCAACCACCACCAACCACCCACAACCACCACCCACAACCACCTACCCACTACCACCATCAATCACCACCCCCACCACCCACCACTACCAACCACCACCACCTATCACACACCACCACCATCACACACCACCACCATCACACACCACCACCACCACCACCAGCCACCACCAACCAATACAACCACCACCACTCACTACCAACCACCACCATCACACACCACCATCACACACCACCAATCAACACCACCAACCACCACCACCAACCAACACCACCACCAACCACCACCACCAATCAACACCACCACCAACCACCACCACCAACCACCCACCACCACCCACCACCACCCACAACCACCCACTACCACCCACCACCACCCACAACCACCCACTACCAACCACCACCATTACACACCACCAATCAACACCACCAACCACCACCACCAACACCACCAACCACCACCATCACACACCACCACCATCACACACCACCACCAACCACCACCATCACACACCACCACCATCACACACCACCACCAACCACCACCATCACACACCACCACCAACCCACCAACCACCACCATTACACACCACCACAAACTCCCACCATCACACACCACCACCACATACACCACCACCAACCACCACCATCACACACCACCACCAACCACCACCACCCCCCACCATCACACACCACCACCAACTCCCACCATCACACACCACCACCACACACCACACACACACACCACCACCACACGTCCCACCACTACCACCCCCCACCACACACACCACCACCACCACCACACGTCCCACCACTACCACCCCCCACCACACACCACACACACCACCACCACCACACGTCCCACCACTACCACAATCCCACCACACACCACACACACACCACCACCACACGTCCCACCACTACCACCCCCCACCACACACCACACACACCAACACCACCACCACACGTCCCACCACTACCACCCCCCACCACACACACCACACACACACAACCAACCACCACACGTCCCACCACTACCACCCCCCACCACACACCACCACTACCACCCCCCACCCCCCACCACACACCACCACCACCACCACACGTCCCACCACCACCACCCCCCACCACCATCACACACCACACACACACACAACCACCACCACACGTCCCACCACCACCATCACACACCACACACACACACAACCACCACCACACGTCCCACCACCACCATCACACACCACACACACACACAACCACCACCACACGTCCCACCACCACCATCACACACCACACACACACACAACCACCACCACACGTCCCCCCACTACCACCCCCCACCACACACACACACACACACCACCACCACCACACGTCCCACCACCACCACTCACCACCACCATCACCACACACACCACCACCACCACCACACGTCCCACCTGCATGCGCGCCACGCTGCCCGCCAGCGTGGCCGCCGCTTCGTGGTCGACCCCGTGGGGGTCTCTGGCCAGGGCTCTCAGCAGGCCCCGGCGGCCTGAGGGCCCCAGGGCCGCGTAGCACCGAGCCAGCTCCGCAGCGGCCTCCTCCGCCCCGAGGCCCTCGGCTTCCCCACGAGCTGCCGCCCGAGGCCCAGCATCGACGGCGGCCCTCAGCGCGGCCCCCCACAACTCCTCGCCACAGCCGTCTTTGTCTTCCTCGCGTCTCCCCGTCGACGAGACGACGAGCCGGCGGCCGCCGTCGCTCGGCCAGGGGCTCGCCCGGGCCCGTGGGCCTCCGAGGGCCGCCGTGGGGGGCCGCTGGGGGGGGGTGAGGCCCCGGGGGTCGGGGTCCATGGGCGACGGGTCGTGGTCAACGCCCCGCTGCGGGAAGTTGAGACGGCTTGTCCGGCAGGCCTCTGCGGGGAGGGTCGACTCGGGCAGGGTCGACTCAGGCAGGGTTGACTCTGGCTGCAACCTGGGAGGTTCTAAGCGGGCGGCGAGGTGCCGCGCCCGGGAATCGAAGGCCGTGGCGTGAAGCAGGCCACGCGTCCTCGACAGGGCAGCCCACATAGCCACTCGCCCACCCACCCACCACCGCACCGCTCAACACATGACTGGGTTGTTGATCGTTAACAGTCGCGGTTACATCTCCAGCTGGAATGGCAGCAGCCAGCTACTGTGGTTCGTTTGTTTGTTGTTGTTACCGCTGTCGCTGCGGCTATTTCCGACCTTGCAAGTGACCAGTTGCACCCCGCATCCACGTTTGACACCGCCGCAAGGTCACGGGCCCGGCCGTTAAGCGGGGGGGGGTTACGAAGGGGCGGGGCTAGTTACAGGGGGCGGGGCTAGTTACAGGGGGCGGGGCTAGTTACAGGGGGCGGGGCTAGTTACAGGGGGCGGGGCTAGTTGCAGGGGGCGGGGCTAGTTACAGGGGGCGGGGCTAGTTGCAGGGGGCGGGGCTAGTTACAGGGGGCGGGGCTAGTTGCAGGGGGCGGGGCTAGTTACAGGGGGCGGGGCTAGTTACAGGGGGCGGGGCTAGTTGCAGGGAGCGGGGCTAGTTACAGGGGGCGGGGCTAGTTACAGGGGGCGGGGCTAGTTGCAGGGGGCGGGGCTAGTTGCAGGGGGCGGGGCTAGTTACAGGGGGCGGGGCTTCCAGGGGGTGGGCGGGGCTAGTTACAGGGGGCGGGGCTAGTTACAGGGGGCGGGGCTTCCAGGGGATGAGCGGGGCTAGTTACAGGGGGCGGGGCTTCCAGGGGGTGGGCGGGGCTAGTTACAGGGGGCGGGGCTAGTTCCAGGGGGCGGGGCTTCCAGGGGGCGGGGCTAGTTACAGGGGGCGGGGCTAGTTACAGGGGGTGGGGCTAGTTACAGGGGGCGGGGCTAGTTGCAGGGGGCGGGGCTAGTTACAGGGGGCGGGGCTAAAGGGAAGCGTGGCAACTGGAGGGGCCGTGTCTGAAGGCGGGGCCACGCGTGTGGGCGTAGTTTAAAGGGGGGGGGGCGTGTCTAGATGTCTGCGCCAATCAGAGAGGCGGTAGCCGAGGGGGAGGAGCTATGAGAGGCGTGGTTATGGTGGGCGGGGCTATACGAGACTCCTCCCCCTCCCCCCGCCCCTCCTGCTTCAGTCACGTGCCGAGTGCGGGGCGACCGTCACGTGATCGTTGCTGAAGCTGAAGGCGCAGCCCTGCAATGTCCGGCTCACGCCACTGCTGGCGGATAAAGGAACGAATCCCCATCGTGGTTAATTGGCCTACTCTTCCACGTTGCCCAGACGTGCGGGAGAAGGTGGCTGTACCTACACGTTGCCCCTATCACGCTCGCTGTAAGATCGACTAACTTTCGATTTAAAGCTTTCGTGACTGCAGCAGGGATTCATCTTCTTGGTTCTTTCGGTAAAGTCACTTAGAAGGGAAATAATAAAATAATAAAAATAAAACATAATAAAATAATTCTCACGACGTTTCGGCCACAACGCAAGCAGCCGTCCTCAGGTGAAGACCATTCAGACGCTGTCTCCCCGACAGACCTGGTCTTCACCTGAGGACGGCTGCTTGCGTTGTGGCCGAAACGTCGTGAGAATTATTTAATTATGTTTTATTATTTTATTATTTCCCTTCTACGTGACTTTACCGAAAGAACCAAGAAGATGAATCCCTGCAGTCACGAAAGCTTTAAATCGAAATGTTATTGTTTGTTGCGGTTGCACCCAAATCAAGAGCCGAATGGCTCTCAAGGTAAATCCTAATAAATGAAACTGAACTGAATCACACCAATCTCGTTATGCGGCACGATGAACTTTATTTTAATCTGTGTCTGCCGGCACACCACACCCAGTATGCACCCTCTTGCTCGAGCCCTGGGTCGGTGAGACCCGGCGTGAGACCGATAGTGTTACCACCCCGAGCTGAAAGCCGAGCCATTGCTGCACAAAGGGCAAATATTCTTGAACTCTCTGTCCCGATGGGGCATGTCAACAACATTACGATTTTACATGGGCACATGTGAACGTCAACACGGTCCAAACGCCGCACTTGCAAATCCGAGAGAGAGAGAGAAATTTACACCATTGGAACCTCATTTGCCAGTAACAAAATATGATCATTGTTTTTGACCCTTTTATCTGGCAACAAAACTGACACTTTTTTTACAAGGAGTCATGTTTGCATTGACCACAATACCTGCAAACATGACTCTTTGTAAAAAAAAAGGTGTCAGTTTTGTTGCCAGATAAAAGGGTAAAACACCAATTATCATATTTTGTTACTGGCAAATGAGGTTTCAATGGTGTAAATTTCTCTCTATTGTGAGATATTCCCATCATGATATCACATTGTGAGATATTCTAATCATGATATCACATGATGAGATATTCCCATCATAGCATATGACTCGAGGTCGTGGTTGTGGGGGCGGTGGGGAGAGGAGGGGGGGCACTCGTTGGAAAGGAGCGCTCCAGTAAAGCCCAAGATCTCGGCTGTTACCGGGCTCCAGAGGTGTGGACTCGAGTCATGTGACTTGGACTCGAGTCAGACTCGAGTCATGAATTTGATGACTTCAGACTCGACTTGGACTTGCATAACAATGACTTTGTCCCACCTCTGAGGTGTGGACTCGAGTCATGTGACTTGGACTCGAGTCAGACTCGAGTCATGAATTTGATGACTTCAGACTCGACTTGGACTTGCATAACAATGACTTTGTCCCACCTCTGCCGGGCTCCCTCTGTGCTCTGACCTCTGAGCCACATGGACCGTGGGTTCTCATATTCTTAGGTTTTTTTCGGTAAAGTCACGTAGGTAGAAAATTAAAATTAATAAAATAAAATAAAAATCACGACGTTTCGGAGGCAACACAAGCTTCCGTCTTCAGGTGGAACCGTCACAGCACGATAGCTGTATCAAGTAAATGAGAGATTCCAAGAGATACTACCCGTATATATATACTGGTTGAGGGGGGGGGGGATGGGCCAGGACAGGCCCCCTTTTTATTATGGTAAGGTGCGGCTTGAGATTAGTCTACATAACAAAGGACTGAGCCTTTGTTATGTAGACTGGCTGAGAGAGGGGGGGGGGGGTGCCAGAGTTGTTAAAGTACAACTGCTGCTAATGGGACCGAGCCTCTGCTATGTAGATGGTAAAAGCACAAAAGCAGGTCAGGAAGAAACAGCCTCCTGCTATGTTGCTTGGTGGGTAAAACTCATTTGGGTGCTTGATTTAAAAAAATGTTGGGGGTACGGTGAATATGTTCCACGACTAGTTATGTTTAGCGCGAACATCAGACCGGGCACGTGGCCACCGCGTGGAACTCTGCCACTGCGCGTAGTTCGAGGGCGGGAGGGATTTTTGGTTTTTAAGGGGGGCCCACTCGTCTCCCCCGTCCATCCCCCCCACCCCGCTTCTCCCCTCCACCGCTCACCCCAAACTACGTGAACACGAGCACATTCAATATCGTATTCTTGGTTCTTTCAGTAAAGTCACGTAGAAGGGAAATAATAAAATAATAAAAATTAAACAATAAAATTCTCACGACGTTTCGATTGCAACACGAACAATCATCACCATCAGGTGTGAAAACCACGGCAAGAAAATTTGAAAAAAGCGGCGGTCAAATTTTCTTGCTGTGGTTTTCACACCTGATGATGATCGCTTGTGTTGCAATCGAAACGTCGTGAGAATTGTATTTTATTATGTTTTATTTTTTATTATTTTATTATTTCCCTTCTACGTGACTTTACCGAAAGAACCAAGAATATGAATCCCTGCAGTCACGAAAGCTTTAAATCGAAATTTTACATTCAATATATTTTCTTGGCCGATTGTAAGAATATCCAGTCTCTCGGGGATTGGAGGGGGGGGGGAATTGTCTCCATCGCCCCCCCCTCACTTCCACCCCCCCTCCCACTTTCACCCCCTCCCACTTCCACCCCCCCTCCCACTTTCACCCCCCCCCCCACTTCCACCCCCCCCACTTCCACCCCCCTCACACTTTCACCCCCTCTCACTTCCACCCCCCCTACCCCACTTCCACCCCCCCCTCACTTCCACCCCCCCCCCACTTCCACCCCCCCCACTTCCACCTCCCCCACTTCCACCCCCCATTAGATCCTCTACTTTGGTGTTCCATAATTCACGCAATATTTTGCCACGGTAATATTCCTCCCGCGAGATCGTGACGTCGCGAAATACTCTCGTCATCATCATATCATAATGCGAGATTCGCGTGGTGATCTATTGCAAGATTCTCATCATGATATCATATCGCGAGGTATTGACATCGTGATATATTGCGAGATGTTTACATCATGATATCACATTGTGTGATATTCCCATCATATCATATTCTGATATTCCCATCATGATATTATATTGTGATATTCCCATCATGATCACCGTGCGAGATATCCCCATCATGATACCACGCTGCGACATATTCTCATCGTCGCCTTCCCGTGACGCACGACTAATTACTGCTGCTGCTGCCACTGCTGCTGCTGCCACTGCTGCTGCTGCTGCCACTGCTGCTGCCACTGCTGCTGCTGCCACTGCTGCTGCTGCCGCTGCTGCCACTGCCGCTGCTGCCACTGCTGCTGGTGGCTTGGCCGCTACTTGGGGTCGGGCAGGAAGAGGCCGTGCAGGTCAATCGGCACGTCAGCGCCGTGGACGGAGGCTCGCGCCACCTCGCGGAACGACCGAGCGTCCAGCACCAACAGGAACGCCGGCTTACCGGGCTCGCTCGTCACGATGGACGACAGCACCACGCCTGGTCGGGGGGGTCAGGGGGTCAAGGGTCACGGAGGAGAAGGGAAAGGTCAGTGTGGATAATTGTAATCATTAAATCTCGGCTTTCGTGACTGCAGGAATCCGTGCTCTTTGGATTTTTAGGTAAAGTCACGTAGGTAGAAAATTGATTTAAAAATCACGACGTTTCGATCGCGACACAAGTAATCGTCTTCAGGTGGAAAAATACAGCGGGCGGACTGCTGAGGCAGGAAGAAATACGACCACCACTACCACGACCACCACCACGACCACCACCTCAACCACCACCACAACCACCACCATGACCACCACTACCACGACCACCACCACGACCACCACCACAACCACCACCATGACCACCACTACCACGACCACCACCACGACCACAACCACCACCATGACCACCACTACCACGACCACCACCACGACCACCACTACGACGACCGCCACTACGACCACCACCACCACCACGACCACCACTACCACGACCACCACCACGACCACCACCACCACGACCACCACCACTACGACCACCACTACGACCACCACCACCACGACCACCACGACCACGACCACCACCACCACCACCACGACCACCACGACCACCACCACCACGATGACGGGTAGATCCCCGGAGCGAGTGAGCGAGCGAGTCCGCCAAGGGACTGCGGCGAGGACGGACGGACGGAAGGAAGCGGGGCGATTGCGGTGCGCCGGTTAACGGAGAGGCTCCGGCTCACCGTCATCCTCCTCCTGAGCGCCGGGCGTCGGCACGAACACCGGCTCCGCAGGCCAGCAGCCGCCCTCCTGCCACTCCAGCTTCTCGCCCGTGTGCGTGTCCACCTTCACGATCTGCGCAAGGGAGGTCAACGGAAGCACGGGAGGTCAACGGACGCACGGGAGGTCAACGGACGCACGGGAGGTCAACGGACGCACGGGAGGTCAACGGACGCACGGGCGACGCCGTCGATGCCGGGTTCGACCGCCGGCCACGCGGCGCTTCCTGGGACTCTCCCCCCCCCCCCTAGGTCGACTCGGCCTCAAACGAGCGCCCGGCGCGGCGTGTGAACGTCGCCGCTGGGGAGACAAAGGCGGTCGGGCGCGGTTGCTGGCCACCCACCCCCCTAGCGTGCCACAGCGCCGGCCTTCATAGGTGCTGCTAACAGCACTTGCCCCGACAGCCTGTTAGAGGCTACACGGGGGATCTTTGTCTTTTTTTGTCTTTTGTACGCACATACTCTTAGTTTTTTCGGTAAAGTGGCGTAGGAAAAAAAATTGAAATTAATAAAAATAAAATAATAATAAATAATTAAAAATCACGACGTTTCGGAGGCAGCACAAGTCTCCGTCATCAGGTGGGACCGTCACAGCCAGATTTGCTGTATTATTTTTTATTAATTTAAATTAAAAAATTTACTTACGTGACTTTACCGAAAAAACTAAGAGTATGAATCCTTGCAGTCACGAAAGCTTCAAATCTAGAATTTTGTACGCACGTTCGTCGAACTTCTTTCGCACCGTACGTAGCCAACCGCGCTCAGTGGGAGGTGCGGAGGCAGGGACTGCAACACTAACACGCGAACAGCGGTTCCAAAGGGTATGGCTTCGTCAACGCAGGCGACGATTTGGAAAGTGCATCGCAGCGCCCAGTCGCTTCCCGACACGGGAAGGAAGAGCGCGTTCCAGACGGCCGCAGTGCGGCGATTGCGGTGTGAACGCCGCCGTCTCTGCCCCTATTATTATATTTTGGTACGGGCAAAGGAGGTCAAATGATGTAAAGGAACTCAGTTATCGCGTGCTCTTAAAGGGACCCTGTTTTTTGGATGCCCTTAAAGGGACCCTGTTTTTAGGATGCTCTTAAAGGGACCCGGTCAAGGCAGGCTCTTAAAGAGACGCTGTTTTTTGGATGCTCTTAAAGAGACCCTGTTTTTGGGATGCTCTTAAAGGGGCCCGTTCAAGGCAGGCTCTTAAAGAGACCCTGTTTTTTGGATGCTCTTAAAGAGACCCTGTTTTTGGGATGCTCTTAAAGGGGCCCGGTCAAGGCAGGCTCTTAAAGAGACCCTGTTTTTGGGATGCTCTTAAACGGACCCGGTCAAAGCTTGCTCTTAAAGGGACCCTGTTTGGGGATGTTCTTAAAGGGACCCAGCTATGGTTTGCTCTTAAAGGGACCCCCTGTTTTAGCATACATTTAAAGGGATCAAGTTGTAGAATGCTCGTAAAGTGACCCTGTTTTTGCGTGCTCTTAAAGGGACCCTGTAAGGATGGCCTTAAAGGGACCCCTGTTTTTTTTGTTTTGGATGCTCGTAAAGTGTCCAGAGCAGGTACCTTGGTGGGCACGGGTCTCCACTCGATTTGGGCTGCGTAGATGTAGCGGTACTCCCTGCCGTTGTAGTTGTAGTTGATGCGAGGGAGTTCGATTCCTGTTGTGAGGTCAAGAGGTCAAACAAATCATCGAGCGGTGGCGCCGTGGTTAGTGCACCGTGCTGCGAGCAAGGCGATGCGAGTTCCATTGACGGATGTCCAAACCAGCGCTGGGCCTCCCCTAGGTCGGCTCAGCCTTAAATGAGCACTCTGCCCGGGGCAGTGTGTAAACATCGGCATTGGGGAGACACAGACAGCCAGGCTGGATCGGTGGTGTGTTGCCACCCACCACCTCGTGTGCCGTGCTGGCCTTCATAAGCGCTATTCGTGAACAGCACTTGCCCCTACAGTCTGTTGTAAAGGCGATGACGGGGGATCTTTGTGGTTGAGTAGGTGGGTGGGTGAGTGCGTGACTGAGTGGGTGCATGAGTGGACAACTGAGATGGAGTGTGAGTAAATGATTGAGTGAACATGATGAGTGAGATGATGAGTGAGTGAGAATATGAGTGGGATGATGGGAGTGTGTGCGCATCGCACCCTCTGCTAGAAGCTCTGGAGTGAGGACCACGTGTCCTCCCTCCTCCTTGACGGCGCTCGCTTTCGAGCCGGCAAGAGACACGAGGTTCTGGGAGACCGGAGACTCCTACGACGCACGCCACATCGTCACGGACGACACCAGTGCCCCTCGTTTCCATGGGACAGCCACCACCACCACCATTCTCATCAGCAGTTCCATCACCCTCACCACCACCACCATTCTCATCAGCCGTTTCATGACCCTCACCACCACCACCACCACCATTTCATCAGCCGTTCCATCACCCTCACCACCACCACCATCATTCTCATCATCAGCTTCATCACACTCAACACCACCATCATTTGCATCAGCCGTTCCATCACCCTCACCACCACCACCATTTCATCAGCCGTTCCATCACCCTCACCACCACCATTCTCATCAACAGCTTCATCAGCACCACCACCATCACCACCGTTCTCATCAGCATCGCATACCTGTCAACCCCTTATCAGTGCCCTACCTTATTACAGATCAATTCAGACCTTATTGGTCACCCCGTGCCCCCTTATACATCTCAACGTTCATCCTACAAAGTGCCATCACAAGGGAGAAACACTAAACATTTTTGTGTGCCCGTATAGAAACAGCTGTACGCCGTATGGACCTGAAAACTCAATTTCCCCCGCACAAAAATACGGGGTGAACCATGTGGGCTTGCTGCTGTTTCATCAGCATCTCCATCACCACCTCCACCACCACTTCCAACAACAACAACCGCCATTCGCCACTAAGTGGCGGTGACGTCACCACGACGCTTGTGCCAGGCCATGTGCACCTTGAGGCCACGTGAAGTGTCGAACGCCCGCTGGCAGGAGGTCACGGGGCAGACCCAGCAGGTGCCACGGGTCGACTGACTGAGATGACCACCACTTCCACCACCTTAACCGCCACCACCGCCACCGCCACTGCCACCGCACGCCAGAGGTCGCAACCGGGTACCCGATACCCGTACCCTACCCGATACCCGGCTACCCGTACCCGGCTACCCGTACCCGGCCGGGTACGGGTAGCCGGGTACCCGTTTGCGACCCTGGTGCGGCCGGGTACGGGTAGACCGTGAGTCACTGGTGAGTAACTGTTTGTCACTCATTTCCCAACGTCTTGTCTCTTCTAACAATTCAAGTTCCTAGAATCAACCCATCCGCGCCTGCAACATGGCTTCATTCCAGAGGTCGCAATCGGGTACCCAATACCGGGTATGGCCGGGTACGGGTACCCGTTTGCGACCCTGGTGCGGCCGGGTACGGGTACGGGTAAGGAATCAAAACCCGTTTGCGACCTCTGCCGCACGCGGCCCACCTTTCCGACGCCCAGCGGCAGGACGTATCGGCGGCACTGCGGCAGGCAGCTCATCTTGTTGTCCTCGGTGAAGTCGGCGGCGGTCTTGCGCAGGTTGCGCAGGTAGAACATGTCGTAGAGGCTGTTGTCGTCGTAGGCGACGACGTCGCACAAGACGCAGCCGCCGCGCTCGAACGCGTTCACGTGGTGGTACACCACGAAGGGCTCGCTCACGAAGTGCGTGGTCAGCGCCTTGCCCGTCCGCCGGTCGATCAGGTAGAAGCGGCTCTGGCAGAGGCGGAGGAGGGGGGCACACGCTGAGCCAAGAACAAACAAACTGCAAACTCATTTTTGGGGTTTTATTTTCAATAGGGGAAAGGCCCCCTACTGAGAGAGAACACACGAACTACGCTCACTCACTCTGCAGAACACAGAGAGAGAACACACAAACTCCACTCACTTACACTCACTCTGCACAACACAGAGAGAACACACAAACTCCACTCACTCACTCTGTAGAACACACAGAGAGAGAGAACACACAAACTCCACTCACTCATCACTCACTCTGCAGAACACAGGGGGAGAGAGAGTACATAGAAAACAGGGGAAACATAGACATAAAGTAGGGAGAGAGAGGGGGGGTAGAGAGAGGGGGTAGAGAGAGAGGGAAGGGGTAAGAAGAAGGAGAGCAGAGCGTGAAATATTTCGGTAAATCTTTCATTTAAACAGGGGGCACATAAAGCAAAGCATTGAAAAAAAAAAACTGAAAAAAAAACGAAATGACGAATGAAGCAATGTGCCGACTACACCGAGCATCTTCTTGTTTCCTCTGATCGTAAAAAAAACGAGAGAGAGAACACACAAACTCCACTCACAGAAAGTGCTCCCTAGTCGGGAATCGAACCCGGGCCCATACACTGCCACCACCGTCGCCGCCTGTCCGACGTTTCGCACCGCAGCCCCTCCCCAGGGGGTGATGGGGGGGGGCTCACCTTGTCCTCGGGCAGCCAGGTCATGCAGCTGGCCCAGTTGGCGCCGCGGAAGTAGGCGGTGGCCAGCTTGACGAGGTCGAGCTTGAGCGGCTGCTCGATGAAGACGAGGTAGTGGGGCGTGAGGCCGAAGCTGTGGTAGTAGCTGGGGCTGAATCGCCAGCGGGACGGCAGCGTGCACAGCACCTCGAGGCCACGGAGGCCGGAGTTGGGCCGCTCGCCTGCACGTGGCGAACAGTGGCCGTGGCCGTCAAGCCCTCAACAGCGCGCCGCCTTAGCACGGGCCAATTCACATCCCTGGCAAGGCCTCATCAGGGCCCTCCCTTAGCACAGACAAATTCACATCCCTGGCAAGGCCTCATCAAGGCCCTGTCTTAGCACAGACCAATTCACATCCCTGACAAGGCCTCATCAGTGCCCTGTCTTAGCACAGACCAATTCACATCCCTGACAAGGCCTCATCAAGGCCCTGCCTCACCACGGGCCAATTCACATCCCCGGCAAGGCCTCATCAGGGCCCTGTCTTAGCACAGGCGAATTCACACCCCTGACAAGACCTCAACAGGGCCCTCCCATAGGACAGGCCAATTCATACCTCTGGCAAGGCCTCATCAGCGTCCTACCTTAGTACAGACCAACTCAGACCGTACTGGTCACCCCGTGGCCCTTATACATCTCAACGTTCGTCCTACAAAGTCCCATCACAAGGGGAGAAACACAAACAGACAACAATATGTTGTCACCCGAATTGAAACGACTGTACGCCTTATGGACCTGAACACGAATTTTCCCTGGACCAGAATACGGGCTAAACCGTGTGGGTTGACGGGTATGAGAGCGTATTGGTCACGGTTGTTGGTTTTATGAAAGTTTTTTTTATTGCGACTAAACCTAAATAAATACATTTATTTCACCAGGATAAGGCCCACAACTGTAGCTGCTGCGTAGCTGTTTTTCAAACGCGTATCCTGGCCATCACGAATGATGGCTCAACGAAAGTGGCGGCTTATCATCGTCGTCGTCACCATCACGTGGAAATTTACAGCAGCAGCCAAAGACTCTTTGAAGGCGTGTTGACGTGGATGCTGAATGTGGAGGGACAAATTGTAGCACCCGGGGGAGAGAGAGAGAGACACGCAAACTCCAAATATACAGCAGCAGGCGTCAGGGTCGGGATCGAACCCACGACCTCCTGTATACCAGGCGAGGTAGTTAACATCTCCTAGCCACCGTGATGATGATGAGAGAGAGAGACACGCAAACTCCAAATATACAGCAGCAGCAGGCGTCAGGGTCGGGATCGAACCCACGACCTCCTGCACACCAGGCGAGGTAGTTAACATCTCCTAGCCACCGTGATGATGATGAGAGAGAGACGCAGACTCCAAATATACAGCAGCAGGCGTCAGGGTCGGCATCGAACCCACGACCTCCTGCACACCAGGCGAGGTAGTTAACATCTCCTAGCCACCGTGATGATGATGAGAGAGAGACGCAGACTCCAAATATACAGCAGCAGGCGTCAGGGTCGGGATCGAACCCACGACCTCCTGCACACCAGGCGAGGTAGTTAACATCTCCTAGCCACCGTGATGATGATGAGAGAGAGACGCAAACTCCAAATATACAGCAGCAGGCGTCAGGGTCGGGATCGAACCCACGACCTCCTCCATACCAGGCGAGGTAGTCAACATCTCCTAGCCACCGTGGTGCCCCTTAATGTCAGGGTCGGGATCGAACCCACGACCTCTTGTATACCAGGCGAGATAGTTACCATCTCCTAGCCACCGTGAGGATGATGATGAGAGAAAGAGATGCAAACTTCAAATATACAGCAGGCGTCAGGGTCGGGATCGAACCAACGACCTCCTGCATACCAGGCGAGATAGTTACCATCTCCTAGCCACCGTGAGAATGATTATGAGAGAAAGACACGCAAACTACAAATATACAGCAGGCGTCAGGGTCGGGATCGAACCCACGACCTCCTGCATACCGGGTGAGGTATTTAACATCTCCTAGCCACCGTGGCGCCGCAATGCCTCTTTCATCGGGGCGACCTTGGAAAGGGGAGTTGCCTGGGTGAATAAAAATAAAATAAAATATAACAAAAATATTGATATTCTACAACAGACTGGAGTGTGCCAAGTGCCCAACCTGGCAACGTGGGCGGCACGCGGATGAACGTGTACTTGGTGTGGCCCTTGTCTGCGATGGATGTGCCCACGTTGTAGACTGTTCCATCCGGCTCGTAGTGCGGGTGGGACGTGGCGATGTTGATGGCCACGTATTTGGTGTAGTCCACCTGGGGGTGAGTTTCCAACAACATCATCATCATCATCCTAGATTTGAAGTTTTCGTGACTGCAAGGATCCATACTCTGTGGTTCTTTCAGTAAAGTCACGTAGGTAAAGAAAAATAAATTAAATGTATAAGGGGCACGGGGTGACCCATAAGGTCTGAGTTGGTGTGTAGTGACGTAGTAGGGGCAGTAACACGTGGTGTGTAGTGACGTAGTAGGTGCAGTAACACGTGGTGTGTAGTGACGTAGTAGGGCAGCAACACGTGGTGTGTAGTGACGTAGTAGGGCAGCAACACGTGGTCTGTAGTGACGTAGTAGGGCAGCAACACGTGGTGTGTAGTGACGTAGTAGGTGCAGCAACACGTGGTGTGTAGTGACGTAGTAGGTGCAGCAACACGTGGTGTGTAGTGACGTAGTAGGGCAGCAACACGTGGTGTGTAGTGACGTAGTAGGGCAGCAACACGTGGTCTGTAGTGACGTAGTAGGGCAGTAACACGTGGTGTGTAGTGACGTAGTAGGGCAGCAACACGTGGTGTGTAGTGACGTAGTAGGTGCAGTAACACGTGGTGTGTAGTGACGTAGTAGGGGCAGCAACACGTGGTGTGTAGTGATGTAGTAGGTCAGTAACACGTGGTGTGTAGTGACGTAGTAGGGCACTGACAAGGGGTTGACAGGTACGCGACTGGCGCGTGTCACGTGGGGGTAGCGGCCAGCGACCTTCTCGAGGGTGTTGAGTGAGCTCGCGTCGATCCGACGCATGAAGTTGGTCTCCGTGGTGGCGTAAAAATCCTCCCCGCACCTCATTACGTTGATGAGGCAGTTGTCGGTGAACTCTGGCACGGAGTAGGAGAGGTAGGAGAAGGCCCTGGGCGCGTAGGGGGGGTGAACATCATGGAATTTTGGGCCTTCAGAATGTAAATGTTGCCAACCCCCTATCAGTGCCCTACCTTATTAGAGACCAATTCAGACCGTATTGGTCACCCCGTGCCCCTTATACATCTCAAAGTTCATCCTGCAAAGTCCCATCATGAGAGAGGAACACAAACAAATAGACACATTGATGTTTCGATTTAAAGCTTTCGTGACTGCAGGGATTCATCTTCTTGGTTCTTTCGGTAAAGTTACGTAGAATGGAAATAATATTATTTAATAATAATATTATTTACATTCTACGTGACTTTACCGAAAGAACCAAGAAGACATTGATTTTGTTGTTGTCAGTATTGAAACGGCTGTACGCCATCGTATAGACCTCAAAACTCAATTTCCCTGTACAAAAACACGGGCTAGACCGTGTGGGTTGACCCGGTGCGTGACCCCCACTGCCCTGCACACCACCCCCCCTGCCCCCTACCTGCCCCCCCTGCCCCCACAGCTGACTGCATCAGCTGCGAGCTGCTCCCTCACTTGGCGAAGACGTTCCTGCAGGGGTCGGGGTGCGCCATGGTGCCAAACTCCGAGATGACGATCCTGTTGGCCTCCGAGTTTTTGCGGAAGGCGTCGCTCTGCAGGTACTTGCTGCGGTAGTGAACCTCACCTGCGCACAGGTGTGCGGGCACAGCAACAGCAGCAACATCAGCAGCAGCATCAGCAGCAGCAGCATCAGCAACATCAGCAACATCAGCAACAGCAGCAGCAGCAACAGCAGCAACAGCAGCAGCAACAGCAGCAACAGCAGCAGCAGCAACAGCAGCAAGAGTAGCAGCAGCAAATAATCGTCACCGGTGGTGGCCGTGAGCGAGAATCGAACTCGGGTCGCCGGGTTCGTAGCGCAATGGCGCGCTAACCGCTGCACCACCGCTCCCCAAGGTCACAACAATAACAACATCCGCCATTCACCACTAAGTGGCGGTGACATCACTACGGCGCCTGTGCCAGGCTAGGTGCACTTTGAGGCCACGTGAAGTGTCGAACGCCCGCTGACAGGAGATCACTGGACAGACCCAGAAGGTGCCATGGGGTTGACCGACTGAGATGACTGGCCGATGTACCACCCATGCACCCACACACCCCACGCACACACCCACACACACACCCACCCCACGCTCCTACCCCACACACACACACCCACACACACACCCACACACCCACACACACACCCACCCCACGCTCCCACCCCACACACACATACCCACACACACACCCACACACACCCACACACACACCCACCCCACAAACACCCCACACACACATCCATCCACACACCCACACACCCACGCACCCAGCCACCCACACACACGCTCACCCACACACACCCACCCACACACACACCCACCCACACCCACAGACAGCCACACACCCACCCACCCACACCCCACCCCACACTCACTCACACAGACCAACAAACCCACCCACGCAACCCACACACACACCGACACACACACTCACAACACCCACAGACACCCACACACCTTCCCACGCACCCACCCAGACACACACCCACAGACACCCACCCACACACACCCACAGACACCCACCCACACACACCCACCCACGCACCCCCAAGGAACGTGAAACTGTGGAGGAGCGCCATCCCGTCGAACCAGTGGTTGTACGAGGTGGTTCCGAACGTGTGCAGGGCCGGCCCGTTGCGAATCAGCGTTCCACTCAACCACTCGGGAAGCTTGCCTGATCGACACAACAACATCAACAACATCAACATCAACAAACACTAAAGCTGTCGTGCCAGGCTAGGTGCACCCCCCCCCCTCCTCTTTGAGGTTGTCACGTGACGTGTGGAAAGGCGCCGTGGGTTGACTTAGATGACTGGGCGATGCACCGCAGACACACACACAGACACACACACAGACACACACACACAGACACACACACAGAGACACACACAGACACACACACAGAGACACAGAGACACACACACAGACAGACACACACACAGACACACACACAGACAGAGATACACACAGACACACACACAGAGACCCACACAGACACACACACAGAGACACACACACACAGACACACAGACAGACAGAGATACACACAGAGATACACACAGACACACACACAGAGACACAGAGACACACACACACACAGACACACACACACAAAGATACACACACAGAGGAGACACAACACAGAGACACACACACAGAGACACACGGACACACAGAGACACACACAGACACAGGAGCCACACACACAGAGGAGACTCACACACAGACACACAGACCCAGAGACCCACAGAGACCCACACAGACACACGGAGACACAAAGACACACACACAGAGGAGACTCACACAGATTCACACACACAGAGAGACACACACAGACACACAGAGATACACCCGGCATCCCTTCGACCTACCCTGTAGTTCGGCACGAACCGGCTGTGGGCATTCCTTCGCGTTTCCTTGGAAAAGGGTTTCCATTGGTGCTGCTATTTCATAGAGACACACACAGACACAATAACAAAGATCTCCGGTATAGCCTTAACAGATTGTAGGGGCAAGTGCTGTTAGCGAGCACCTATGAAGGTCGAAACGACACACGTGGTGGTAGGTGGCCAGCACCACGCCCGACCGCCTTTGTCTCCTCAGTGGCGATGTTTACTACACACCGCTCCAGGTAGTAATTAGAGGCTGAGTCGATCTAGGGGAGGCACGGGACCGGCTCAGATAATCGTCACTGGGTGTTTGCCGTGAGCGGGAATCGAACCCGGGTCGCAGGGTTCGTAGCGCAGCGTAGCGCTAACCACTACTACACTACCGCTCCCCACACACACACAGAGACACACACAGACTGAGACAGACACACAGACTGAGACAGACACACAGAGACATAACAACGATCCCCCCCCGTATATCCTTCACAGACTGTTGGGGCAAGTGCTGTTAGCGAGAAGCAGCACCTCTGAAGGTCGGCACGGTATACGCATTTCAACGCTGTGTGCAAAATATCCCAGTGGGATGCAAGTAAAACAATAACAACCATAAGACAATGTAGATTCAAGTTTCAAGTTTTCAAGTTTCATTTATTAGGTATAGCCCTGTGAGCCATTCGGCTCTTGAATCGGGTGCAACCGCAACAAACAAAAACATGAACAAGAAAACATCTTAAAGTGACTATGTGACTAAGTGCAAACAGAAAATCCAAGAAAAGACAGCAAAATATTGCAGAAAAAGCACCGTACACCAACACTGTGTGCAAAAATCCCAGTGGGATGCAAGTCAAACAACAACAACAACTACAAGACAACTTAGATTAAGGCCATCAGTCTAACTCTGTACTACAACAAACAAACATGGCCAAACCGAAAAACTTTTCAAAAATCACCAAAATAAAGCCATAAAAGCAATGAAACCGTGATCATAGGATTCAGTACCTGGAGCTCAAGCGCGCTCAACGCCGTTTGCGATTGCCGCAAACCGCACTCCGGCTAGGGGTGGACCGGTAACTTCACCGCGTTGAGTCGGGCAGGTGCCGGCAGCGACGGCAAAAGACTGAACTTTGTTCCGCTGTGGCTCAATGTTTACGAGCCGAGCGAGCACTCTGGGTCCCTTCCTCAGCTGCCCTGACCACATCGGCGTCAGTCCCGGGGCGAAGTTCGAAGGGTCGGAGCGTGCTGCCCGCTCTCTGATATCGGCTTGCGCGGGGCAATCTGTGTGGCCCAGAGCGGTCACGTGAAGTATAAGAAGGGGATCTCAGGCGTAGCTTTGTGAGATCAACTTCCGTGGGTCATTCTGTGTGGACCTGTGTGTTACTTGAATAAGAATGGATCTCAGATGTAGCTCTGTGACAACCACTTCCACGGGCCGTTCTGTGTGGACCAGAGCGGTCACTTGAAGTATAAGAAGGGAATCTCAGACGTAGCTCTGTCATATCAACTTCCGTGGGTCATTCTGTGTGGACATGAGTGTCACTTGAATAAGAATGGATCTCAGAGGTTGCTCTGTGACAACCACTTCCGCAGGCCGTTCTGTGTGGATCAGAGTGGTCACGTGAAGTATAAGAAGGGGATCTCAGACGTAGCTCTGTCATATCAACTTCCGTGGGTCATTCTGTGTGGACCTGAGTGTCACTTGAATAAGAATGGATCTCAGAGGTTGCTCTGTGACAACCACTTCCGCAGGCCGTTCTGTGTGGACCAGAGTGTCGAGGAAGAAGGGATCGGGATGACATTGAGGCTTAAGACTCTACCGTATGGTGCCACTGTGGGTTTAGCTTAACACACAATTGTGTATAATGGTCGTGAGCAAAAAAAAATACATCTAAATATCTCACAAAAGCCAACATGTTTCACCAATCTTCACGCACGTAAGGTTTTTTTCTTTTCTTCCCGACAATATTATCATTCAAAAATTGATTCGTGTGTTAGTGGTTTTGGAAAATACCATGGGACCCGTCTTGCCAAGTATCTGCCAAGAAATGCCCCATGGTATTGATTCCTTGCGAAAGATTTTCTGTTCGGGTGTTTTAAGATCTGAACGCCTGTTTTATTGCCAGAAATGATTTCATCAATTCTTATAGGGTCGTGAATACACGACCGAGGCAATGCACGTCGGTCTAGAGTACACTTAGAGAAGACCTTTGCACGTAGACAGTATGCCCTTGATTAGACTCCGCAAGGCTGTGGCTATTGCCTCCTCCTGCTCCGGAGCCAAAGTCCTGCAGCGATAATCCAATTTAGATAAGAGACAATTTTCGGCGGAGGCTAAATAAACGTTTTTTTGGACATCATCTTCAAATGATACGCCACGTGTCAAGTGCCGTCACCCTCGTAGGGATATTATGGCCTGACCTGCCCGCGTCGGTATCACTCTGCAGCCACTGATGTGGAATTTCGTGGCCAAGTTTTCAGGGCGATTGTGAAGTTTGTTCCGCTCGTTTACCCGGGAGAGCTTCATATTCAGCATCAGGACTCCTGTTCAGGTGGGTTGTTGCCCAAGTTTTCAGAGTAAGGGGAGCAATTCTGCCGCTGCTGTGCGCTTCCAATCGAGTCATTGGCAGATACTGATTCAGCTTTGGAGATGTTGTTTAGACAATAACAGTTGCACTGTGGATGTGTCTTCTTGGTTCTTTCGGTAAAGTCACGTAGAAGGGAAATAATAAAATTGTAACATAATAAAATACAATTCTCACGACGTTTCGGCCACAACGCATGCAGCCGTCCTCATGTGAAGAACAGGTCTGTCGGAAAGACAGCGTCTGAATGAACACCACCAGGCTTGGCAGCGTATATTTAAGCTGGGTTAGAGGGGGAAGAGCGCCTTGACAAAATAATTTTCATATCAAGAGGAATTTAGCATATTTATGGGAAATGCAGATATGGGATTAGTCACTACTTGTGGAATGCGTAGAAGGTGGGCGGGGAGTTTCAAAGTCATATTATGCCCGTGCATTATGCAGGATTAGCAGCATCAAAGGAAGGGAGTAGGGTTAGCATTAATAAAGGGAAGGAATGTTAATAGTATGGAGTTGTAGCAACTAGACCCAAACGCAGAAGATTCCCTGGGGGTTTAATCTTCCACGAAGCTGCTCATGGTCCACTCCTAAATCGCATCAACTGCACAAACCGTGGGAGGAGATGCGGACACACCACGTTGTGAAAGACCCAAACGCAAGAAAATTCCCTGTGGGGTTTAATCTTGTACGAAGCTGTTCATGGTCCACTCCTAAATCGCATCAACTGGACAAACCATGGCAGGAGATGCGGATGATTTCTGATGCGCCATTGGAAAATAAATAAAAAAACGTTCCAGTATCGTGCGACTGTGGGGCCATCCAGAAAAGACCGTGCCAGCGGATAACGGTCAATGCCGCCCCGATCCACAAATACGAATATTCAGGGCCTACCTTGGCTCCTCCCACCCTCAACCAGTATATATACAAGGACTGTTACTGGGGATTTCTCTCACTTGATACAGCTATCGTGCTGTGACGGTTCCACCTGAAGACGGAAGCTTGTGTTGCCTCCGAAACGTCGTGATTTTTATTTTATTTTTATTTTACTTGTATTAATTTTAATTTTTTACTTACGTGACTTTACCGAAAAAACCTAAGAATATGAATCCTTGCAGTCACGAAAGCTTCAAATCTAGAATAAATACGAAGAAGGAGACATAATCACAGCGGCGCGTTCACGACAGACGGCCGCCCTGGTTAATACTGCGAGTGTACTAACCATGCAGTGAACGTTAAACGATGTTCACCGTGACGCCATTATACGTCGTTACGTTGTTATATGCGGGAGACTAGCGGGGCCACCCAGGGTAAGCAGACTTTAAGCTCAGAGAAAATCTCACGTCGCGATGTAATTGTGAAAGCAGTCGAGAGACGAAATGCAAGATAAGGAGCCTTGAGAGATAAGGAGCAAGAGGGCGTAGGGGCCCTAAGTGTTGATTGGGCGATCACCCCCACCACCACCACCTCTGTGGCGATGATTTAAGCTGTCGAAATTGAAGGCCGCGATTAGATTGTTCCAGAGGTTCGCTGGTTAATACTGCGGGTCTTTATGAACCACAATCCAAGGCACCCTTCATTTTCTTGGCTAATGTCAGCAAGATCGGTGATTCAGCCGCAGTGCGCCTTTATCGTACCACACCGCCTTCTACGTTAAGATCCGCGTGACTTCGTTCTAAACGAGTGCTGGCGGCACAGTCCACATTCGCTAAAATTTTAACAATTCCACCGCAGAATGACTCAATTACTATGAACTTTTTTATTTTATTTTATCAGGTAGGGTCCACAGAACTACATATTGCCCTTTGTCAGAAGCGACTTGGCTTCAAATGATAGCCCAACGAAGTGGCTTATCAAGTGGACATTCATCGCAGCCAAATACTTTAAACGCACGTTCCTAAATGTGGAGGAAAAACCTGAGAACCCGGAGAAAAGTCCACGCGACCACGGAGAGAGAGAGAGAGACACGCCAACTCCAAATACACAGCAGGCGGTCAGGGTCGGGATCGAACCCACGACCTCCTGTACACCAGGCGAGGTAGTTAACATATCCTAGCCACCGTGATGATGATGAGAGAGAGAGACGCAAACTCCAAATATACAGGAGCAGGCATCAGGAGGCGTCAGCATGGGTTACTTTCCTGGAGACAGAATGGCTCATTGAGCCATCTGGTCTCTTTTTGATGAGGACATCCAAGAAAGGTAGCGTGCCATCCATTTCTACCTCCATGCTGAATTTGATGGCTGGGTGTATGGATTCTAGATTTGAAGCTTTCGTGACTGCAAGGATTCATATTCTTAGGTTTTTTTGGTAAAGTCACGTAGGTAAAAATTTTAAATTAATAAAAGTAAAATAAAATAAAAATCACGACGTTTCGGAGGCAACACAAGCTTCCGTCTTCAGGTGGAACCGTCTTCAGGTGGACGGTTCCACCTGAAGACGGAAGCTTGTGTTGCCTCCGAAACGTCGTGATTTTTATTTTTATTTTACTTTTAATAATTAAATTTTTTTACCTACGTGACTTTACCGAAAAAAACTAAGAATATGGGTGTATGGAATTGATGTGGTTGAGGTGCATGCTTAGGGGCCGTCGTCCATAAATGACGTCACGTGATTTTGGATGATTTTTGACCCCTCCCCCCTCGTCACACGGCGTCACAAAAAGTCAGACCCCCCCCTCAAATATGACGTCACAAAGCTCTGCCCCCCCCCCCCCAAAAAAAAACATATTTCCATTTTGAAAATAAAAATGCTTCAAATCGCGTTAAACTATTGTCATTGTAGTGCGTAGCTAATGTGGCGCTGCACTCTGATGTTGTAGGAGTGTTGTTATAACAATTAGTGTTGTTATAACAATTATATATGCATTTATTTAAAGCTTTCGTGACTGCAGGGATTCATATTCTTGGTTCACACCTGATGATGATTGCTTGTGTTGCAGTCGAAACGTCGCGAGAATTTTTATTTATTTATATTAATATTTTTTTTATTATTTCCCTTCTACGTGACTTTACCGAAAGAACCAAGAATATAATTCTATATTTATTTAAAGTTGCGCATTTTGATGTGACGTCACATTTATCAAACACCCCCCCCCCCAGGTGCGTGACGTCATTTATGGACGGCCCCTTAAGCGCCTTGCAACAGGCGGTGCATGTCCACTCCGCCCTGTACCAATCCGTGGTAGCTGCCCTTTGTACTGCCTGTGTGAATTAAATTGCGTTAACTCACGCACGAAACGCCGGGCATACTCTGCGTACTTTTTTAAGCGTAGCAAACGAGCAGATGTTTTTTTTTTACTGCAATATAAAATTTTAACAGAATTTATTTGACACAAATGTCACCCTTATTGACCGAATTCAACTGGCAATAAAATAGACACCCCACTCTGGGGGTCCTTTCAACCGGTAACCATAGCAACGATGCAAACTGGTAACCCTAGCAACCGGCGTAAACAGTGGTTGTTGACGTGGACTGTATAGCGGGTGTAGTCTAATCGATTTTCAAAGCGATTTTTATTTACCACAATCATTGGATGTGTTGTTGTTGCTATTGTTGTTATTGTCTCATATCAACGTGAGCTCGTTGTGTGCGGGGTGACGCAAGTTGCCATGCCCGGCGGTCGCGGGACATCGATCCCCAGGTGAGGCATCCTCACCTCACCCCACAATTATATTGGGACAATGAAGTAAAAAAAAAAGTGATTAAGTTAGAAAAAGATGAAGAAGTAAAAAAAAGAGTAAGTTAGAAAAAGATGAATAAGTAAAAAAAAAGATTAAGAAAAATATTAATTAAAAATTTGTATACGTAAAAAAAGATTCAGTAAAAATATTAAGTTAAAAAATAAAGTTAAAAAAAATCAAATGTTCCGATAGTGAACGTCACACTGACCCCCACCACCTCCACCACCCTCTATATAAACTCTCCTTGACGTCTTCAACGAATTCCGCGTTTCAAAATGCATCCATGAATAACACGCAGGATTTCGCGCGACAAATTGTTATTCTTTCGATTTAAAGCTTTCGTGACTGCAGGGATTCATCTTCTTGGTTCTTTCGGTAAAGTCACGTAGAATGGAAATAATAAAATAATAAAATAAAACATTATAAAATAATTCTCACGACGTTTCGGCCACAACGCAAGCAGCCGTCCTCAGGTGAAGAACAGGTCTGTCGGGGAGACAGCGTCTCCGAAAGAACCAAGAAGATAAATTGTTATTCATCGTAACAAACCTGTCAACGCCTTATCAGTGCCCTTACCTTATTACAGACCAATTTAAGACCGTATTGGTCACCCCGTGCCCTTATACATCTCAAAGTTCATCTTACAAAGTCCCAGTAAAAGGGAGAAACACAAAAAATAGACACAAATGTTGTTTTTTTGCCTGTATTGAAATCGCTGTACGCCGTATGGACCTGAACACTGAATTTCCCTTGTACAAGCATACAGCAAAACCGTGTGGGTTGCCGCGTATGCTACTATACACTACTCTACTATACATGACACTATACACTACACTATACACTACTATACATTACACTATACACTACACTATACACTACACTATACACTACACTATACACTACTATACATTACACTATACACTACTATACATTACACTATACACTACACTATACACTACTCTACTATACATTACACTATACACTACCCTACTATACACTACTATACACTACACTATACACTACTCTACTATACATTACACTATACACTACTATACACTACACTATACACTACTCTACTATACATTACACTATACACTACACTATATACTACACTATACACTACCCTACTATACATTACACTACTATACACTACACTGTAAACTGCTATATACTACACTATACACTACACTACTACATACCTGTCAACCCCTAATGAGTAACCTTATCTTATTACAGACCAATTTAAGACCGTATTGGTCACCCCGTGCCCTTATCAATCTCAAAGTTCATCCTACAAAGTCCCATCACAAGGGAGAAACACAAACAAATAGACAAACACATGTTTTAAAATCTTGATTTGAAGCTATCGTGACAGCAGGAATCCATACTCTTTGGTTCTTTCGGTAAAGTCACGTGGGTATAAAATAAAATAAATCACGACGTTTCGGGCGCAACACAAGCGTCCGTCATCAGGTGGGAAAGCTGTCTTTCCGACAGCCCTGTTCTTCACCTGAGGACGGCTGCTTGCGTTGTGGCCGAAACGTCGTGAGAATTATTTTATTATGTTTTATTTTTATTATTTTATTACTTCCCTTCTATGTGACTTTACCGAAAGATGATGATAGCATCATTATTCCATCTCGGTGTTCCATAGCGACTTTGTGCATTCTGGGAGCCCAGTTGCAGGGCGGCACCTTTACGTTTTTACTGTGTGAAACCGGTGTCTGTGTGTGTTTGTGTATTGTGTTTGTTGTCATAACGTTCTGACCCCATGCCCCTACTGGACATCTTTTAAAAAAGATCTTTACAGCTCATGGGATTCCACCGGTATAAATATTATTATTCTGATTGTGAATGCACGCGTGTGTTTAGTGGTGTGAAGCCGTTGAATTGCTACCAGCTTTCGGGTGCAGTGTCTCATCAGCTGCCTCCAAAAGACTTCATCGAGGTCAGTAGGATTTGGGATGAGCATGCAATTAACCCGTTCCGATGACGTAATTGTTCGTGGACGTCGTCAGTTTTTTCATCCAAGTCCGTTCCAATGACGTACGTGTACATCATCAAAATGAAACTGGAAGAAAAACTAAAATAAAATAACGTTCAATTTAAACCTTTCGTGACTGCAGGGATTCATCTTCTTGGTTCTTTCGGTAAAGTCACGTAGAAGGGAAATAATAAAATAATAAAAATAACACATAATAAAATAATTCTCACGACGTTTCGGCCACAACGCAAGCAGCTTGGTGGTGTTCATTCAGACGCTGTCTTCCCGACAGACCCGTTCTTCACCTGAGGACGGCTGCTTGCGTTGTGGCCGAAACGTCGTGAGAATTATTTTATTATGTTTTATTTTATTATTTTATTATTTCCCTTCTACGTGACTTTACCGAAAGAACCAAGAAGAGAAAAAAAACGTTATCGGTATCGAGGCTCCCACAAGGCCACGCGGGAGGGCGTGTGGCACGGTGTTGGCGTCAGCCATCGTAGAGTGCGGCGGTCGTGTCGCTAGAGTTCTCTGCGGTGAGTAACAATGTCGTTAAAAACAACGGCGCTACTACACCTCTCTAAATAAAATTAACGCTGAGCCACTTGAGGTGAAAGGGACACCCACCCTGCAACTTTCACACGTCTCGGGACGGATAAAGGTTAAGTCCATTAATTCCGTTTTATGACTATACTCGACTAAATATTGTACTCTACGACTGTGCTAGTTTGAGGTTGATTACTCGCTGCTTGATAATAGGTTTTTTCCCCTTTTTTCTGGCAACAAAACAGGTGTTAAGATTGTGATTTAAAGCTTTCGTGACTGCAGGGATTCATATTCTTGGTTCTTTCGGTAAAGCCACGCAGAAGGGAAACAATAAAATGATGAAAAATATAAAACAATACAATTCTCACGACGTTTCGACTGCAATACAAGCAATCATCATCAGGTGTGAAATCCACAGCAAGAACATTTTAAAAAAGTGGCGGTTTTTTTCTTAAAGTCAGCACCACGGACAGCGATTTGGCAGTTGGTCAGATTTGGAAATCAGCACCCTGAAATTAGTCTAAAACAGCTACAAAAGTCCAGGCCAGAAAAAAATGTTTTTTGTTGTTGTTGACCAGTGAATTATTCTCCCCCACAGCCACCGGTGGGCTCCGCTCAGCTGTCCGTGTGGCCAGCGGGCCCTCTGGCCGTTTCCCCCCAGGCACCGGGCCTCTCTGAGTGTTCCCGGGGCCTCCGCAGGCCTCAAGGGACCCCCTACCCGCCGGCCTCACGCCCCACTGCAAAGCCACGCTTCCTGCAGCAGTTGGAGGCCGGCCTCAGGCAGGTGGGTGGTCGTGGTGGCGAGCAAGAGGGGACCTCTCCGCCAGCCGTTCGAAGTCTCTTCTCCGACCCGTCGTAGTCTCTTCTGCGGACGTTTCGAGAGCTGACCGCGAGGGCTTTCATTCCCTCCTGGTCCACGCACAGTTCCCCTGCGCGGGTTAACTGCCCAGCAAGTGGCTTATCGCGGGGAAAATGTATCGCAGACGGATACTCTAAATGCACGTTTGTTTCTCAATGTGGAGGGGAAAACAAACGGAGGAACCCCGTGGGGGAATATATTCACCTGACCACGGGGAGAATGTGCAAACTGCAAATATACCGGTGTCAGGGTCGGGATCGAACCCATGACCTCCTGACATGAAGGGAGCTCTATCAATAACAAATGATACTGGTAGCAACCCACTGGTTGCACCAGCCCACAGGGGATTATTGTGTCCGTCCGTCGTGCAGGGAGGGGCTGGGTGGGGAGGGAGGGGCTGGGTGGGGAGGGGAGGGTGGGGAGGGGCTGGGTGAGGAGGGTGGAGCTGGGTGGGGAGGGTGGGGAGGGTGGAGAGGGTGGGGAGGGGCTGGGTGGGGAGGGTGGGGCTGGGTGGGGGGTAGGAGGGGTGGAGATGGGTGGGGAGGGGCTGGTCACCCCGTGGTGCCCTTATAAAACTCAACGTTTAACCTATTCACGCCGGCTTGTGCCCGCCCTCACAGACCGGGCATATTTGCGGAATACACCACGCCGCCGTTGACCCTGGCCATTGACCGAGCAACCCAACGTTCCTACCAGCTCCCTCCGCAGGAATGTGTTTATTATTGTCTCAAGACGCTGTGCAGAAACAGTGGCCACATCGTTTTGTATCATCCACACTGTTGAACCATCACATTAAGGAAACTAAAACTAAGCTATTTATTTTATTGTGCCACGCAAGGCCCATTGAGCTATATAGCTCTTTTTCAAAAGCGACCTGGCCACAAATGATATCCCAATGAAGTGACTTAGCAAGTGGAAATCTGTAGTAGCAGCCAAATACTGTAAACACGTGTTTCTAAAATGTGGAGGGAAAAACCGGAGGACCCGAAGAAAAATCCACGCGATCACGGGGAGAACACGCAAACTCCAAATATGCAGGCATCAGGGTCGAACCTGCGACATTGCAGGTCATAACAACGCACTCACTCATCCACTTACTCAACAACCAACTCACCCACCTACTCACTGGGTGGGGGAGGGTGGATGGGCAGGTGGGTAGGTAATATTGGTAGGTGAGTGGTTGGATAGGCACGATCGTAGGAGGGTGGGTCGATGATTGGTTAGGTAGGTAGGTGGGTGGTTCCATGGGAAGGTCATTCATCTGATCATTTAGTTACCCAGTGACAATACAAACACAGACGTGGGCTAATGGCAATAACTGCTGTGAATAATTAATGTAATTTCGCATTTGTATGTTTGCGAATGATAATCTTACAGGAGCTGGGAACACTCAGATCATTGAACCCAGACTCACAGAACCTGGATTTGGCTGCACAGGAGGTTAGACTCCAGGTATTGTATACCACTCCAATTGTATAATCCATTCACTCATTTCGCAACCTTGCCATGCAGTCGTCCAATCACCCATTCAGTCTTTCATTAAATTAAGTCATCCATTTATTAATTCACCAACTCAATCACTCAATCATTCATTCATTCATCTGGTCATGAAGTCATCAGGCATCCAGTCTTGCAGTCATTCACGAAATCATCCATTCAATCAGTCATTCGTGCATCTAGTCATCCACTTGGTCATTTATTCACCCATCTAGTTAATTACCCAGCCACTCATTTATCAATTAATTCATCCTTCAATTCAGTCACCGAGGCATCAGTAATTAATTCATTGAGTAATTCCATCAGCAACTTACTCTATTGCTCTTTCAGGCACCTCGCAATCTTCCTATTAGTTAATCTTTGTTCATCAATGAATGTTATTACAGTAGTTATGCTGATACAGTTGTATTGTTGTATGTATATTCTTGGTTCTTTCGGTAAAGTCACGTAGAAGGGGAACAATAAAATAATAAAAATATAAAACAATAAAATTCTCACGACGTTTCGATTGCAACACAAGCAATCGTCATCAGGTGTGAAAACCACAGCAATAAAATTAGAAATTTGGAAATTTTCTTGCTGTGGTTTTCACACCTGATGATGATTGCTTGCTTGTGTTGCAATCGAAACGTCGTGAGAATTTAATTGTTTTATATTTTTATTATTTTATTGTTTCTCTTCTACGTGACTTTACCGAAAGAACCAAGCATATGAATCCCTGCAGTCACGAAAGTTTTAAAACAAAATGTTGTACGTATATTGAACTTCTTTTACACAGTACGTAGCCAACCGTGCTAATCTTGCCGGCAGTGTGACAGTAAAGTTGGTGCCTCTTGTACGATCGTTTGCAGGCTTTTCGAGAGGCGTTCAATTGCATCATCGAAAACTTCACAACCTACAAGCCACTGCTGGCAGCGATCAAGTGCGAATACGAAGCCACGTTAGGTACGGAGTAGTCGCGATGTCCACCATAGACAAAGATCCCCCGTATAGCCTGAACAGACTGTTGGGGCAAGTGCTGTTGAGCGAGCACCTATGATGGCCGACACGGCACATGAGAGGGTGGGTGGTCAGTGCCACGCTAGGCTGCCTTTGTCTCCCTAGTGGCGGTATTTACCCATCGCACCAGGTACTCTATTCATTTGAGGCTGAGTCGACCTAGGGGAGGCCCAGGACTCAGATAATCCTCCCTGGTGTTGACTGTGAGCGGGAACCGGACTCGGGTCACCGGGTTTGTAGCGCCGTGTGCTAAACGCTGCACCACTGCTCCCCCATACACACAGATATGCGCATGTGTGTATGTGCACACGCGTGTATGTGCACATGCGTGCTTTTCTACTTGAAATCTGTGCTTAGCGAAAGCTCGTTGGCCGCTCGTTGCAGAGGTCCGTGGAGTCAAATACTGCAGATGTACAGTGAGGGAAAAAGTATTTGATCCCCTGTTGATTTTGTACGTTTACCCACTGACAAAAAAATGATCAGTCTATAATTTTAATGGTAGGTTTATTTGAACAGTGAGAGACAGAATAACAAAAAAAAATCCAGAAAAACGCATGTCAAAAATGTTATAAATTGATTTGCATTTTAATGAGCCGTCTGCTTCACCTTGGACATTAAAGATGTGTGCCAGCTTTGTGGTTGAAATTGGAAAAAAACGCCACCGCAAACGACTCCATTGCAATTACACACTCGCGACATCTCCCCCTCCTGTGAAAAATTGGCAGCACCCTCCTGAAAACATAGTCTCGAGGCTCAGCGAGGCTTTGCTGACGAAACAACCGTCGCAATGTCACGATAACAATCGCAATGACATCGCGAAAGAACCCACGCGTCCCCCTCTCTCCGTGCCGCCACCACCGCCGCCAGGCCAACTGCGGGGCCGCGTGGCCCAGCTGGAGCCGCTGCGGGGGCTGCTCGTGGCGGAGAGCGAGCGGCGGGCGACTGAGGGGGTGGACGCGCACCGGGAGGAGAGCGATGCGGCCGCACGGCTACGCCGGGACAACCGCGAGTTGTCGCTACGCCTCCAGGAGGAGAGCGGGCGCACGGACGCGGCACGGCTGCAGGTGCCGGCGTTCGCACGCGCGAATCTTCGCCTCTCTGCTGGCGTCATGCGCGCGTTTCATTCACACGCACTTCTCTCTCAATCTCTCTCTCTCTCTGTACGCGCGCGCACGCATTGACGCAGATCGCTCTGCTCTCTCGTTTGCATCTCCAGCCGTTCGTTCTCGATTACAGCCCCTCTTCGTTGGCAGAGGGCAGAGGAATGCTGCGAACAGCAATGAGTGGAGCGCCGGTGTGAGTTAGCACAGTGTGGAGCACAGCTGGTGCATCAGCCAGTCATCTCAGTCAACCCATGGCACCTGCTGGGTCTGTCCCGTGACTTCTTACTTACAGCGAACATTCCGCACCGCCGATCAGCGCGGTTGGCTACGTACGGTGCGAAAGAAGTTCAACGTGCGCACATGTACACAGTCACGTCTCTATTCGCATCACACCTCTCTCATACAACTGATCGGTCAACAAAGTGGCTTATCACGTGGAAATTGATAGCAGCCAATTATTCTAAACTCACGTTGATTATAAATGTGGAGGTAAAAATCTGAGGACCCCGAGAAAAATCCACACGACCACCATTAAGGAGATCATGCAAACTCCAAATATACAGCAGCAGCAGGCGTCAGGGTCGGGATCGAACCTACGACCTCCTGCATACCAGGCGAGGTAGTTAACATCTAGCCACCGAGATGTTAACATTCACATTCATCCTTTTCTTCACTCTCATTCACATTCAAATTTTCGTGCGCTCACATTTACACCTCTTCACTCTCTCCTCTCTGTTCGCTTCATCCCTCTGCCCCTTTGCCTGCGAAACTGGGTGTCGAACCCATGGACTCAGCGGCGTTGGCTAAGTGGCTCCGACTCAGTCACTCGGCCAAGTCTATGCAACCGTTGTTACCTCCCTCCCTGCCTCCCTCCCTCCGTCCCTCCCTCCCTCCCTGCCTACCTCCCTCCGTTTTTTAACGATCAGACGAGAAAGATGCTCGGTCTTTCGGCACTTTACTTCGTTCATCATGTCGTTTGTTTGTATTTTTTTAAATCAAAGATATAACGCGGGTAACATTAGTCCCATTGTGTGTTACTGTGTTCATAGACACCAACAAGAAACACAAATCACCCTCAAAAACCCATCACCAGATCCCCTGCTACTGCGCTACCAGCACCATAGCGGCGAAGGCACCTGCCTGACCTCCCTCCCCACCCCTCCCCTCCCTCCCCTCCCTCCCTCCCCTCCCCTCCCTGCCTCCCTGCCTACCTCCCTCCCTCCCTGCCTCCCCCCTCTCCCGGCTGGCAGGTGGAGCATCTGAAGGAGGAGCTGTCGGTTGAGTACCGGCGAAGGCGCGACGAGTCCGACGCTCGGCGACTCCTCAACAACGAGATCCTGGAGCTGAGGGCGCTGCAGGAGAATGCGCAGCGCCTGCAGGCACACGGTGACAAAAACACAGACAAAGATCCCCCATATAGCCTCAGACACACTCTGGGGCGAGTGCGATGAGCGAGCACCTAAAGGGGCTGACACGGCAGACTCTAGGGTCGTGTGCTCGGCACCGCATGTTTACACACTGCGAGAGGTGTTCATTTAAGGCTGAGTCGTCATAGGCGAGGCCTTAAATGATCATCAGCCACCCTTCACCTGAGGACGGCTGCTTGCGTTGTACCCGAAACGTGACTTTACCGCAAAAACCAACAAGATGATTCCTATCCTAATGAACTCTAACCCCCCTACTTCCCCTGCGCCTCCTGCCAGAGGACGATTGGGCCGACCCCGTGGCCCTGCGTCTGGCCCTGCGCGTGGCCCGCCAGGACCTGTCGCGCGTGCAGGACGAGCTGACGTGCACGAGGGCCGACTACGCCGACGTGGTGCCGCGCCGCGACCACGAGGCCCTGGCGGCCAGCCACGCCGCGCTGGCCCGCCACGCGGAGCTCCACGGCAGGGACCTGCTGCTGCTCCAGCAGGAGCACGGCTCCCTGCTGGAGCTCCACGAGCAGCTCCTGCAGCAGAGGGACGGGCTGAGCGCGGAGGTGGAGGAGCTGCGGCGGAGCTCCACGCCCAGGCCTCCGTGGGAGGAGTGCGGGGGTAAGTTGATTTTGTTTGGCCATCTTCTTGGTTCTTCCACCTCCAACCCAGCTTATATATATGCTAAATTCCTCTTGATATGCAAATTATTTGGTCAAGGCGCTCTTCCCCCCCTCCAACACAGCTTTAAAAGACGCTCCAAGCCTGGGGTTGTCATTCAGACTCTGTCTTCTCGACAGACCTGCTCTTCACCTGAGGACGGCTGCTTGCGTTGTGGCCGAAACGTTGTGAGAATTATTTTATTATGTTTTATTTTTATTATTTTATTATTTCCATTCTACGTGACTTTACCGAAAGAACCAAGAAGATGAATCCCTGCAGTCACGAAAGCTTTAAATCGAAATTTTGTTTGGCCAGTTGTGAGCTCAAGGGTGACCTGGGTCACCAAATGTGACAAGAGGAAAATGAAACGCAGCAATTAATCGAACGGAAAGCGTACCAAAAACAACCGTGTCACGTGACAAATCTAAAATAATGCACAGAGATAATGCAATGCTAAATTATACATTACCTTATTATTTTGAGACTGGAAGTAATACTACGTGACTTTACCGAAAGAACCAAGAAGATGAAACCCTGCAGTCACGAAAGCTTTAAATCGAAATTTTGAGACTGATCATAGCGCAGCTACAATTCATCTTCTTGGTTCTTTCGGTAAAGGACGGCTGCTTGTGTTGTGGCTGAAACGTCGTGAGAGTTTTTATTTTATCATGTTTTATTTTTATTATTTTGTTATTTCCCTTCTACGTGACTTTACCGAAAGAACCAAGAAGATGAATCCCTGCAGTCACGAAAGCTTTACATCGAAAGTTACAATTCAGTTGCAGAAAGATTAAACAGATATAGGGTGACTATTGTACTAATAATGGGTGTATGGGTAGAGGTGGCACGGTGGTTAGCGCGTGGAGGTTCATCCGGCCCTATGTGTATGTCCTGTGTATGGGGAACACAGGCCAGAGGTCGCAAACGGGTTTTGATTCCTTACCCGTATCCGGCCGCACCAGGGTCGCAAACGGGTACCCGTACCCGGCCGTACCCGTACCCTACCCGTACCTGGGTAAGGGTAGGGTACGGGTATCGGGTACCTGATTGCGACCTCTGGGATGAAGCTATGTTGCAGGCGCGGGTGGGTTGATTCTAGCAACTTGAATTGTGAGAAGAGACAAGACGTTGGGAAATGAGTGACAAACAGTTACTCACCAGTGACTCACGGCCTACCCGTACCCGTACCCGGCCGCACCAGGGTCGCAAACGGGTACCCGTACCCGGCCAGGTACGGGTAGCCGGGTATCGAGTAGGGTACGGGTATCGGGTACCCGGTTGCGACCTCTGACGCAGGCTAACACGTCGCACTTAACCCACTGCTGTGCGTGTACGTGTGCGGCGGTATGCGGGTGCGTGAATTCACCTGCCTCCCCACCTGCCTCCCCCACCTCCACCGCCCCCCTGTTCACCTGCAGCGGTGATTGAGGGTGGAGTGGACAGGTGGACTCACCTATGCGAGGGTAGGAGCAGCGGGGAGATCATGAAGCTGCTGCTCGCGGAGGTGATGGGAGTCTCCAACCCGGGCTTCACCGAGGAGAACGCTGACCAAGAGGTGGTGCTGCTGCTGTTGTTTCCTGGAGCGTTGTTGTCATTGGGGCGGCAGGGTGGCGCAGCGGTGGCACTTTGGCCTCGCAGCTCGAAGGGGCCTGGGTTCGATTCCTGACCGGGGGCGCCTCTCTGTTTGTGGAGTGTGGATGTTCTCTCTCTTTTATATTATTTTATTTTTTTACGATCAGTGGAAACAAGAAGATGCTCGGTCTAGTCGGCACTTTGCTTCGTTCATCATTTCGTAATTTAAAAAAAATATGTTCTCTCTCTCTCCACCTGCTCTGCATGGGCTTGCTACGTGTTTCCTCCCAGAGTTGACACCAAATAAGTAATATTTAAAAAATAGTTTTTTTAAAACACGCTTTAATAAATGTACCGTACGAGTAATGGCAAAACTCCACGACTCCAGGAAGTGGCCCCGAGGCTTGCCATAACGTAAGTGAGCGTGGTGATTTACAGCCAACGTCAGTTGAGCGTGGACAATTAGACCCAAGCCGAAACATAACATGTAAAAAATAATGTTAAAAATATATATATATATATTTATTTTTATGATAGAATATAGTATTGTCATCAGTATGACACAAGTATACCAAGTTTGCAGTCGATACCACATTGGGAAGTGGGTTAAAATTGAGTTACAAGATTTGAGGATACAACAACAACAGAGTGAGTTAAATAAAAGCGTGTAAAAGAGTCTAACTGGAATTGGCCGAACGTCAAGAGCACTATCGCCCCCTACTGCGAGAAAAAGAGTGGAGACTCAGTCAGGTTTTCCTGGGTACACTAACGTAACCATTATTGCATTCCACTTTTTGCGAGGCCCGGTTAAGAGGCTATGACGCTTAGACAATCGGCAGGTGGAGCGTGGAGCGGTGGGGCGAAGCGTGGCTACTACCACCTCTACCAAGAGGTCTGGGGGGTTAGCGTGGAAGAGTAGGCCAAGCCCCCTCGTAGAGGGACCCTCTTGAGCTCCCCCCGTGGTGGAGACACACTCTTGTAGAACCATCATCACAAATAATAATACTTTCGTTTTATATCGCGTTATTCATGCCAACAGCATCCCACAACGCTGTGCGTTAATACTGGTAGGAACCTCCTGGTTACACCAGCCCACAGTGGATTATTGTGTCCGTCGTGCATCCAAAACTGGGAGGGGTGGGGCTGGGTGGAGAGGGGAGGGAGGGGCTGGATGGGGAGGGTGGGGAGGGGCTGGGTGGGGAGAGGAGGATGGGGAGGAGCTGTGTGGGGAGGGGCTGGTCACCCCGTGGTGCCCTTATAAAACTCAACGTTTAACCTACTCACGCCGGCTTGTGCCCACCCTCACTGTCGGCCATATTTGCGGAATACACCACGCCGCCGTTGACCCTGGCCATTGACCGAGCAACCCAACCTTCCTACCAGCTCCCTCCGCAGGAATGTGGTTATACATAAGGGCCAAATCCCATTTACGCAGTTGGCTTTGCGCGTCGCGACAGAAGCCCAACACACACATACACACGCCGAGTAAATGAAAACCCCTACTACCAAGCAACGTCGGAAACGAATACAGATTCTTGGGTTTTTTCGGTAAAGTCACGTAGGTAAAAAATTTAAATTAATAAAAGTAAAATAAAAAATAAAATAAAAATCACGACGTTTCGGAGGCAACACAAGCTTCCGTCTTCAGGTGGAACCGTCACAGCACGATTGCTGTATCAAGTAAGCGTGCTGTGACGGTTTCACCTGAAAACGGAAGCTTGTGTTGCCTCCGAAACGTCGTGATTTTGTATTTTATTTAACTATTATTAATTTATTTTTAAAATTTTTTACCTACGTGACTTTACCGAAAAAACCCAAGAATATGAATCCTTGCAGTCACGAAAGCTTCAAATCTAGAACGAATATAGAGATGAGTCGATGAGGCGGCCCGTCCCCTCTCACGCCGTCGCAGGGTGGTGCAGCCGACGGGGCCTGGAGCTTGGAGGAGCTGTGCGCCGTCGTGCAAGACGTGTGGAGGGAGAAGCGGACGGCCGATGGCTCGGTGAGTTTCCCGACGGCCGCTCTCCCTCTCTCTCTCCTCCCTCTTTCAAGATCGTCGTCCGCTCTGTCCGTCGGTCACGCCTGTCGATGACGGGAGGAAACCTGCAGATGACGGGAGGAACCCATCGCAGCGGAAGCACCGGTGCGGCGTCGCATGTGCAAAAGCGCTCGGGCTTGCCCAGACCGCCGGCTAAAGAGGACTGGATGTGTGACCATTTGAGTCGTTGAGAATCACCGACTCGAAGAGCGCGAGGGCGAGCCGGTGGGTCTGAACGACAGAATGGCCACGCGTTCAGTTCTGTCGAGCCGGTGGTCTGGATAAGGCCGACAGGTTTTTTTGTGTGCACGTGCGACGCTGCACACCTTTGCGTGTGTTGTTAAACACATTTAAAATGTATGTCGGTGTAGAGTCACAGTCGTCGTCTTCATCATATCAGCCAGGTGATCTTCACGATTCACAATTGATATTTGGGTGAGGCCACGTGATTATCTGACCAAATGCTTGTTGTTGACACCCCGGCCACCCAACATGGCCAGACGAATTGAATTGTCACGCGGTGTCCAAGCGTTTAATGATGCACCGATTGTTATTATTCTTGTGTCACCTCGCTCACCGGTAAGTTGAAGAACAATTCTCACAACCTCATATTTATATAGTCGATATACTGACTTGTAAATCATCATGGCAGTCGTTTTAATCTCCAGTGTCTTGTAAGAATCATCATTCTTGTTACATTCGTCAGTGTAGGATGTTGATCATTATGATGGTGATGCTGATTGTCTTTATCATCACCACCATCACCATCAACATGACAATCACTATCATCAACATGACAATCACTATCAACATCAACATGACAATGACCACCATCACCACCACCATCCACATGACAACCACTATCATCACCGCCACCACCACCACTATCCACATGACAACCACTATCATCACCGCCACCACCACCACTATCCACATGACAACCACTATCATCACCGCCACCACCACCACTATCCACATGACAACCACTATCATCACCGCCACCACCACCACTATCCACATGACAACCACTATTATCACCGCCACCACCACCACTATCCACATGACAACCACTATTATCACCGCCACCACCACCACTATCCACATGACAACCACTATTATCACCGCCACCACCACCACTATCCACATGACAACCACTATCATCACCACCACCATCCACATGTCAACCACTATCATCACCACCACCACCACTATCCACATGACAACCACTATCATCACCGCCACCACCACCACTATCCACATGACAACCACTATCATCACCACCACCATCCACATGTCAACCACTATCATCACCACCACCACCACCATCAACATGACCACTACCATCACCACCACCATCAACATGACAATGACCACCATCACCACCTCCAACCACATGACAACCACTATCATCACCACCACCACCATCAACATGACCACTACCATCACCACCACCACCATCAACATGACCATCACCACCACCACCATCAACATGACAATGACCACCATCACCACCACCATCCACATGACAATCACTACCATCACCACCACCACCACCACCATCAACATGACAATGACCACCATCACCACCACCATCCACATGACAACCACTATCATCACCGCCGCCACCACCGCCGCGTGTCCCCCACCACCGTCAGGCCGGTGTTCGCTCGGAGCTGTCGCACTTCCTGGTGGACTTTGGGGAGACGCGGGCGGCAGCGGGCGGCGAGGGGTCGTCGGCGCGTGGCCGCGGGGCCGAGTGGGCGCGCGGCGTGCGGGCCGCGTGCCGCGCTCACCGCGACCGCGCCGGCGCCGTCCGCCTCTTCCTCTCCATCCTCGACGGAGAGGTACACCGCGCCCTGGCGTGCAGGAGGTCGAGGGTTCAATCCCGACCCTGACGCCTGCTGCTGTATATTTGGAGTTTGCGCGTCTCTCTCTCTCATCATCATCACGGTGGCTAGGAGATGTTGACTACCTCGCCTGGTGTACATGAGGTCGTGGGTTTGATCCCGACCCTGACGCCTGCTGCTGTATATTTGGAGTTTGCGTGTCTCTCTCTCTCATCATCATCACGGTGACGAGGAGATGTTGACTACCTCGCCTGGTGTGCAGGAGGTCGTGGGTTCAATCCCGACCCTGACGCCTGCTGCTGTATATTTGGAGTTTGCGTGTCTCTCTCTCTCATCATCATCACGGTGGCGAGGAGATGTTGACTACCTCGCCTGGTGTACAGGAGGTCGTGGGTTTGATCCCGACCCTGACGCCTGCTGCTGTATATTTGGAGTTTGCGTGTCTCTCTCTCTCATCATCATCACGGTGGCTAGGAGATGTTGACTACCTCGCCTGGTGTACAGGAGGTCGTGGGTTCAATCCCGACCCTGACATCTGCTGCTGTATATTTGGAGTCTGCGTGTCTCTCTCTCTCGCTCATCATCATCACGGTGGCTAGGAGATGTTGACTACCTCGCTTGGTGTACAGGAGGTCGTGGGTTTGATCCCGACCCTGACGCCTGCTGCTGTATATTTGGAGTTTGCGTGTCTCTCTCTCATCATCATCACGGTGGCTAGGAGATGTTAACTACCTCGCCTGGTATACAGGAGGTCGTGGGTTCAATCCCGACCCTGACGCCTGCTGCTGTATATTTGGAGTTTGCGTGTCTCTCTCTCTCATCATCATTACCACGGTGGCTAGGATATGTTAACTACCTCGCCTGGTATATCGGAGGTCGTGGGTTCAATCCCGACCCTGACGCCTGCTGCTGTATATTTGGAGTTTGCGTGTATTTCTCTTTCTCCTCTCATCATCATCACGGTGGCTAGGAGATGTTAACTACCTCGCCTGATCTACAGGAGGTCGAGGGTTCAATCCCGACCCTGACGCCTGCTGCTGTATATTTGGAGTTTGCGTGTATTTCTCTTTCTCCTCTCATCATCATCACGGTGGCTAGGAGATGTTAACTACCTCGCCTGGTCTACAGGAGGTCGAGGGTTCAATCCCGACCCTGACGCCTGCTGCTGTATATTTGGAGTTTGCGTGTATTTCTCTTTCTCCTCTCATCATCATCACGGTGGCTAGGAGATGTTAACTACCTCGCCTGATCTACAGGAGGTCGAGGGTTCAATCCCGACCCTGACGCCTGCTGCTGTATATTTGGAGTTTGCGTGTATTTCTCTTTCTCCTCTCATCATCATCACGGTGGCTAGGAGATGTTAACTACCTCGCCTGGTCTACAGGAGGTCGAGGGTTCAATCCCGACCCTGACGCCTGCTGCTGTATATTTGGAGTTTGCGTGTATTTCTCTTTCTCCTCTCATCATCATCACGGTGGCTAGGAGATGTTAACTACCTCGCCTGGTGTACAGGAGGTCGTGGGTTCGATCCCGACCCTGACGCCTGCTGCTGTATATTTGGAGTTTGCGTGTCTCTCTCTCTCATCATCATCACGGTGGCTAGAAGATGTTAACTACCTCGCCTGGTATACAGGAGGTCGTGGGTTCGATCCCGACCCTGACGCCTGCTGCTGTATATTTGGAGTTTGCGTGTCTCTCTCTCTCATCATCATCACGGTGGCTAGGAGATGTTAACTACCTCGACTGGTATACCGGAGGTCGAGGGTTTAATCCCGACCCTGACGCCTGCTGTATATTTGGAGTTTGTATGTTCTCTCTTCCCCTGTTCTACAGAGTGTGAGTGAATGAGTGTGTGTGGAGTTTGTATGTTCTCTCTCCGCCTGTTCTGCATGGGTTTCCTCCAAGTTTTCTGGTTTCCTACCCCATAGCACACACAATGTAACCGGTATTGACCAAACATCGCAAAGCTGAAAAGTTACCTGCAAATCACTCAATTTTGAGATTACACTGAGCAACATTATCACATCCTGCAAAAAAAACTTAACGGGACCCTCCTGAACAGGAGTCTTGAGACTCGGCGTTTGCTTTCCTGGTTGCAGTCGTAGATTAAAACAACAACAACAACAACAACAAATAAACTAGTGACTGAAAGAGAGATGGCAGGGTACTCGTGGACGGAGAGATGGCGCAAGGCCACACCACACCGCCGGCGGTCCTCTAGGTGGATACACAGACGGACGAAAGGACACACGGAGAGGTACATGTCACCAAACCAGAGCTCATTTCCAGCCGGTCCTTAGGTGACTGGCTGGATGGATGCATCACTCTGGTTATTTATGTAACGATGGCGTGCGTGTGTGTGTGTGTGCGCATGTCTCCACAGCTGGATGAGTCTTTGTACCACGGGCAGATACAGATTCTCTCCCAGCTCGAGCGGACCCTGTCAATGGTTGACTCATCGGCAGCCGGCGTTCTGTCTGCGCAGCAATTCACGTGCGCCCTCCATCACGCGTGTCTCGTTGCAACCAGCCACTCAGCCACTCAGCCGGCAATTCAGCCACTCAGCCAGCCACTCGGGGAGTCACTCAGCCGGTTACTCAGCCACTCAATCAGCACTCAGCCAGCCATTCAGCTAGCCATCTAGCATCTCAGTCACTCAGCCAGCCAGTCAGCCAGGCACTCAGCCACTTAGCTGGCAACTCAGTAATTCAACCAGCCACTCAGCCATCCACTCAGCTAGCCATCCAGCATCTCAGCCACTCAGCTAGCCACCCAGCATCTCAGTCACTCAGCCAGCCAGTCAGCCAGGCACTCAGCCACTTAGCTGGCAACTCAGTAATTCAACCAGCCACTCAGTCATCCACTCAGCTGGCCATCCAGCATCTCAGCCATTCAGCTAGCCACCCAGGATCTCAGTCACTCAGCCAGCCACTCAGCCAGCCACTCAGCCACTTAGCTGGTAACTCAGTAATTCAACCAGCCACTCAGCCAGGCACTCAGCTAGCCATCCAGCATCTCAGCCATTCAGCTAGCCACTCAGCCAGGTACTCAGCCACTTAGCTGGCAACTCAGTAATTCAACCAGCCACTCAGCCATCCACTCAGCTGGCCATCCAGCATCTCAGCCATTCAGCTAGCCACCCAGGATCTCAGTCACTCAGCCAGCCACTCAGCCAGCCACTCAGCCACTTAGCTGGTAACTCAGTAATTCAACCAGCCACTCAGCCAGGCACTCAGTCACTCAGCCGGCTACTCAGCCACTCAACCAGCCACTCAGCCACTCGATCGACTCAAGCCAACAAACACATAATAATGATCGTGGTTGTAAATGCACGTTAGCCGCTTGTTGCAAAGGTTCGCGGTTCGAATATGGCAGGCCGCCCTGGTTATTGCTGCGGGTGTATTAACCGCAACATACTGCATGCCATCTGCTTCACAGTGGACGTTAAAGATCTCATGATGTCATTCGAAATGAGTCGGCCATTGTGCTCCAGCGTCTTGGGTCAAAATTTTCCAAATTCGAAAGATGACACCGCAAATTGCTCGATTGGGATTATAGCAATAATTTTTTCTGTGCTGCACGTTCGCGGCCCAGAGACGCTGAGTCACCTTGTGCTGCACAGGGAGAGCTGCCACTGGGGGTGCCCTCCGAACGTTTGTGATGAGATGAGGTGTAAGTTGCGTATCGTGTGTACAGCACTCGGTGTGAAGGTGGGCTCTCTATCAAGAACAACTCATCACCACGTTTAAACCGAAAAGCGGCGTCATTTCTCTGTCTTGTGTGCAGGGATGCCCTCCACCGTGCCTTCCCTCTCAAGGAGGAGGGCCTCATCGCGGAGCTCCACCAGGGGGCCTGTGCTCAGCTGGGCTTGGACAGCATCGACGCCTCCATCCCTTATCGGGCCCTCTTCACTGAGGTCCATCTCCACCACCACTAGCACCACCGCCACCACCAACATTACCACCAACATTACCACCAGCACCACTACCAGCACCACCGCCACCACCAACATTACCACCAGCACCACTACCAGCACCACTACCAGCACCACCACAAGCACCACCGCCACCACCAACATTACCAACAGCACCACTACCAGCACCACCAATAGCACCACCACGAGCACCACCGCCACCACCAGCACCAGCAACATTACCACCAGCACTACCACCAGCACCACTACAAGCACCACCGCCACCACCAGCACCACCGCCGCCACCAACATTACCACCAGCACCACTACCAGCACCACCACCAGCACCACCACAAGCACCACCACAAGCACCACCACCAGCACCACTACCAGCACCACCACCAGTACCACCACGAGCACCACCGCCACCACCAGCACCACCAACAACAGCACCAGCAGCAGCACCAGCAGTACCAGTCCCACACCACCCCATCCTGTGCCTTTACGGCCTTAATTAGATGCTCGCTAACAGCCCTTGTCCCAACCGTCTGTTAAAGGCTACACGGGGGGTGGGGGGGGGATCTTTGTACTCATACTCTTAGTTCTTTCAGTAAAGTCACTACGTAGGTAAAAAATTAAATTAAAATTCATACAAATAAAACAATAAAAATCACGACGTTTCGGAGGCAACACAAGCTTCCGTCTTTAGGTGAAACCGTCACAGCAAAATACCTGTACCTTATATAGTGGTAGAGGGGGGAGGAGCCAGGAAGGGCAGCGGGGGAGGAGGAGTTGTGAAGTGGTCAATTACTGCTTTTGTTATACTGCTGGGTGGGTAAATGAATTAGATACGATTAAGCCGCTCTTGGTTATGCTGTTTGTGCGCAAGTCGCTGTGGGATGAATGGACTCGTGGTCAGGGACGTGTTGCACAAGTAACTGTGGATGTACATCAGGGGCGGTTTCTTCATTAGGGCGATTGGGCGACGCACCACCAATGTCATTCAACCACAGAGTCACGCTAGCCGTCACTGTGCCTCTGGATATAGTCCAATCAGCGTCATGTCACGTTCTGTGGAGTACCGCCTCTTTTTGGGCGATTTCACTCCGGCTGAAAATCGCCCCGAGTGGCCCCATAGACTTACATTCAAAGATGTTTTTTTTCGAACGGGGGCGCTGCAGTGCATTCTCTATGGCTGCCGGGAGGGCTCGCCCTAACGTGCTTACGTCATCATACGTAAGCACGTTTCATCCAACAATATAATTTGTCGCCACCTAGTGGAATCTTTAATAAAAGAAACTTGAGTGGATTGTATTAATAGTGAGTATAGAAACAAACAAGATGTATTGTAAGAGTCACTTTATTTTTCATTAATATTAAGAAGTGAAGTTGCCTTTACATGCTTAAGCTGTTAATTTATCCATTGCATGGGTGGACCTTATCCTTATCAATCATCCAGACATTTGCCCCCCCTGAGAGATTTTGCAGGAGCCGCCACTGATGTACATAATAGAAAAGGAGCGGAAATGCCCATGTGTTGTGCGGACGAGCAGGGAGAGTCGCTCAGCTCGCAGGAGTTCATGCAGACGCTGCACAGGCAGATGCACGAGGAGAAGCTGCTCTACCTGCAGGAGGTGGAGGAGGCAGTGGGAGACACGGGGTATGCGATACAACCCACACCATCCAAACCAAACCAAACCGTTTTTATTTTTTCTAGATTTGAAGCTTTCGTGATGGCAACGATTCATACTCTTGGTTCTTTTGGTAAAGTCACGTGGGTAAAACAATGAAATCACGACGTTTCGGAGGCAACACAAGTCTCCCACCTGATGACGGAGACTTGTGTTGCCTCCGAAACGTCGTGATTTTTATTGTACGTTTTTATTTTACCAGGTTAAAGCCCCACTGAGCTGTGTAGATATTTTTCAGAAGTGACCTGGTTATCACAAATGATAGCTCAACGAAGTGGCTTGTCACGTGTACATTTATATCAGCCAAATGTTATAAATGCACGTTGATTGTAAATGTGGAGGGAAAAACTGGAGGACCTGGAGAAAAATGGACGCGACCAAGGAGAGAAAACTCCAACTATACAGCCATCAGGATCGAGATCAAACTCACGACCTTCTGTATACCAGGCGATATAGTTAACATCTCGCCACCACCATCGCCACCGCGATCATCCTCACCGTCATCGTCGTCATTGTCTTCTAGATTTGAAGCTTTCGTGACTGCAAGGATCCATACTCTTAGTTCTTTCGGTAAAGTCACGTAGGTAAAAAATTAAATTCAAATTGATAAAAAAAAATCACGACGTTTCGGAGGCAACACAAGCTTCCGTCTTGCTGTGACAGTTTCACCTGAAGACGGAAGCTTGTGTTGCCTCCGAAACGTCGTGATTTTTATTTGTTTATTTTTATTAATTTTAATTTCATTTTTTACCTACGTGACTTTACCGAAAGAACTAAGAGTATGTCGTCATTGTCGTTGCGGTGACTTGGCGTGGCTGGTCCCGATGTCCGGCCAGGTGGCTCGGCAGCAGTAGAGCGAGCGGCTCACGATCGCCGGTGGCCACGTCGGTCATTGGCGGTGTGGAGCGGTGGCGCAGCGGTTTGGGCGCCACTCTACGAGCCCGGCGACCCGAGTTCGATTCCAGCTCACCGTCACAAACACCGGTGGCGATTAATTTGAACTGGTCCAGGGCCTCCACGAGGTTGACTCAGCCTCAAATGAGTACCTGCAGCAGTGTGTAAACATCGCCACTGGGGAGGCAAAGGCGGGCACGTGGGGTACTGGCCACACAACCCCTCGCGTGCCGTTCTCAGCCTTTTATACGTGCTGCTCGTTAATAGCACTTGCCCCAACAGTCTGTTATGGCTATACGGGGCACATTTGTCTTTGTATTGATGGAAGACGTGGCAACATTGACCTGAACACATGGAGTTCACATAAGCTCTGAGTCATTGCAATGGGTCCCTATTTGGTATTGGGCTAGGCCATGAGGTTGCAGTCACGCGCGCCAGCGGGGGAAGGACATCATCATGGTGACGATGCTAATGTTGATGATGGTGGTGGTGCTGTTGACGATGGTGGTGATGGTGACGATGCTAATGTTGATGATGGTGGTGGTGCTGTTGACGATGGTGATGATGGTGACGATGCTAATGTTGATGATGGTGGTGGTGCTGTTGACGATGGTGGTGATGGTGACGATGCTAATGTTGACGATGGTGGTGATGGTGACGATGCTAATGTTGATGATGGTGGTGGTGCTGTTGACGATGGTGATGATGGTGACGATGCTAATGTTGATGATGGTGGTGGTGCTGTTGACGATGGTGGTGATGGTGACGATGCTAATGTGACGATGGTGGTGATGGTGATGATGCTAATGTTGATGATGGTGGTGCTGTTGACGATGGTGGTGATGGTGACGACGGCGATCAGGGAGGTGTCGGTGTCGTCTCTCCGCGCCGCCTTCCTGCGCGTCGACCCCTGCCTGGACCAGCCGGACATCGACGCGTACCTGGCGCGGGCCTTCCACTCGGACCCAGACCGCCTGGAGAGGGCTCCCCCTTGCGATTGGGCCACGGTGGCGGGTTGCCTGAAGGCCGCTCACGTGAAGAGGGCCGGGCCCCCACCCTCATGAGTATGAGTTGGCAAGCGCACAACACACCAACGCAACAAAGATAAAGATCCCGCCCGTGTAGTCTTCGCAGGCTGTTGCGCCAAGTGCCATTAACGAGGCCGGCACGGCACACGAGGTGGTGGGTGGTCAGCACCACACCCGGCCGCCTTTGTCTCCCCACCGCTGATGTTTACACACTTACCATGTGCTCATTTAAGGCCGAGTTGATCTACAGAAGGCCCAGGACAGGTTTAAGGACCGCTTTGCTACCTCTTTCCACTGCACAACCGAGCCGTGCCAAGGCCGTGCCGAGTCTATGGGTTTCGATTTAAAGCTTTCGTGACTGCAGGGATTCATCTTCTTGGTTCTTTCGGTAAAGTCACGTAGAAGGGAAATAATAAATAATAAAAATCATTAAAAAAAAAAATATTATTTCCCTTCTACGTGACTTTACCGAAAGAACCAAGAAGATGAGTCTATGGGTCTCTATACCGAGTCCAGCATGGTTATGGAGACACAAATGTGCCAGTCGGATAGGGGTAGTCGACACGGCTAGAATTTGAACTCAAGTTGTCAGGTTCGAAGCGCAGTGCGTCAGCCCCTAAGCCACCGCTCCACACATTGACAACAATAACAACAGCAACAGTCATTTGCCACTGAGTGGCGGTGACGTCACCACGGCGCTTGTGCCAGGGTAGGTGCGCCTTGAGGCATCGTAGAGTGTGGAATGTTCGCTGCTCGTAGGAAATCACAGACCCAGGTGCCATGGGTTGACTGAGATGACTGGCAGATGTTACCTACCACCTGTGCTCCCTACTGTGCTAACTCGCTGTGTCTCAGCCGCCCGGCGCTCCGCTCGTTGTTGTGAGCAGCACTCCTCTGCCGTCTGTCATCGCCGGAGGGTGCCCACCTCCATCTGCCCAGTAGCAGCGTCCTTCACGAGCCTCCTCCAACAGCGGCCCATCTTGAAAGGGCGCTGTGGAGGAGGCTTGCAAACACGCGCGTACACACACGGAACGTAACAATGTCCGTCATCCACACGAATTAAGTGCGCGTGAGTGTTATTCACAGATCTCGGTTACAGCCGATAGAATTATGTCGGATATGTCCATGAGTGTGGCATTCTGTGTAAACAATAAAGCAATTGTATTCTCTTCGGAATTCTATTCGGAATTAGTGGTGCGATGTGTGGGTCTCGATAGAGGTGTTTATTCTGGTTCTTCAATTATTCACTGCGTTTTACTAAAAACTGTTTCTATTTTATTTTACCAAGTAAGGCCCCACTGAGCTGTAGTCCTCTTTTTCAGAAGAGACCCGGCCATCACAAATGATAGCTCAACGAAGCGGCTTATCATCGCGTGGAATTGTATAGCAACATAAATGATCTCAGTAATGTAAACGCCCGTTTCAGCTGAACAATGCAACCCCGTGGCATGGGTTTAACTGGGCATCCCGCCTCCTGTTTTAGATATTTTCATGAGCCTCGGCGGAAAGTTGCCACCTGTTTCACAGACCAAACCCGCAAATGTATCTCAATTACACGTTGGTCTATCAAAACTGTGCAGTATTCTGCAATAAAGTTCAACACAATGCCACCATGTCTCCTAAAACATGTGCCAATTCTCAGACAGGTGAGTGAGATGGTGAGTAAGTGAACGGTGAGTGGTGGGTGAGTCGGTGA